GACATTTATGCAAATGCCAGGCTTGTTTAATAAACGCAAATTATGAGCCCGGCAGCAACATGTTGCAGGTAACGCCGGCAACAGTCGATGCCAGATTAGCGACATTCAAACTTGCACTTGGGTCAATTTAAATTTGTGCAACAGTTGCTGCACGGCAACAGCAACTCCTTGCAGCAGCAGCAGCACACAGATTGTGGGAGCAACAGGCAGCAGCATTGTGTTCGCCAGAGATCGCAGTTGATCGCAGTGCAGTGCAGTGGTGTTGCTGCCCGACGACAACTGTTGCTGTTGCTGCTGCTGCTGCTGCTGATCGAGCAATCAGGCGGAGCAACCAGCAGCCAGCAGCAATCGCCGCTGAGCGTGCTCACACGAAATTTTCAAGTACTGCGACAATTTCCCTGCCGCTCCCCCTCCCCTCTCCGCCTCCTTTGCCTGCTGCTCCCCCCTCGTTATCAGCGCGCCATGCAACTGCAACAACTGCAACAACGGCAGGCAACAGCGGCAACACATCTCAACAGTTGCATCAATTGCTCAACATTGAACCCTGGGCACAGGCCCAGAGGATCGAGGATCACCCCTTCCTCCTTCCTCCCCCGCGGACGCCCCTGCCCCGATATCATTTGCACGTTTTTTAATTAAGACATCAAAAAGAGACTTTGACTTGGGCGATTTCGAGGAATTGCCTGCCGTCTGTCTTTGTCTGCGGCTTGTGTTTCGGTTTCTATAGATCGCAGATAGAGTACCTCATAGGTTGGTCTACATCGACAGTTGCGGTTGAAACAGTAGAGCTGCCACGAAAAAGGATTCTGCGAAAGAACACAAAACCTTAAGTGGAATGTATAATGTTTGAAATGCTGCCACCATTTAGTTATAGATATGTTTTAGTTCTATTCAAAGCTCCTTCCTTTTTTTTAGTACTGATGCGTTGCCCTCTGCTGTATGCAGAATTCTCCCACTCCCCCAATTCGAAGCTCCTAATCTCTTCCTGCCGTTGACATCAGCAACTCTGTTTGAACCAAGTGAACTAAATTAGTTTTGCTCGCAAGTACGAACTTCTGTTCGAAGCCATTTGGCTTGGATTGGATTGGTTGCTTGGTTGCTTGGGAGTACAAAGTTAAGAGGTTGAAGAGGAGCCAAAATTGCTTATCCGCGCATCGGAGGAATTCTGCTCTCCGGGTTCCCATAGAGACCCCTCGGAGGCGGAGGAGGAGGTGCTGACTACGCGAACGAGGGGCAGGAATCGCAGTTGGGGCTGCAAAGAGGAGCAGGTCCTCTGCGGCGAGTAAATCACGAATAGCTTGGAAGCCCCCGAGATATGAGAATGTTGATTATTTACACGGACACACGGCGCAGAAACAGATCTGCTGGAGCCGAGCATCCCTCCTCCTCCTCCGAATCCGATTGCGATTCCTTCCTGCTGGCCAAGTGTGAAGTGAAATGAAATTTGCGAACTTTGCGCTCTTTGCATTCGCTTCCCGGCCTCTTTCTTTGATTAATAACAATTGATAAGCGCGGACTTGGCCCAGAGACTTGGCCCAACCGCTCGCCGAGCTGCTGATGGCGTTGATTACCCGTGCCAGGTCCCGTAGTGCCAGTCCAGTCCGCAGACCACTCGAGATCCCAAACCGCAGGTTCGCAGCTCTCCCGGAACGGAAACCCAAGGCAAGGTGGCAAAATTTTCGCGCGAAAATGAAGATTTCTCTTATCACAATTGGCAGCTGCAGACGTTCTCCCCCTTCACCCTTCACCCGAAACTGGAAACCCTTCTGCTCGCTCACGTTTTTCAATTTCTGCGCTCCCCCGAAAGAATCCCGATCATCGATTGCGGCTCCAGAAATTTGTTTAATTATACTCCCTGGAGGATTCCCGAGGCGGTCCGCAGTAGTCCTCGTCCGATTTCTGTGACTAATGAGGCAGCGGAGCCGAGGAAGCACCTTTGGCTAGGTTTTACCTAATGTAGGAAATAGTCTTAGAGAACGAACCTAACGCTTCCGAATCCCCATTATCCAACTGAAATCCTCATTACGCATACGCCCCCAGTGCCATTTAGCCAACTCCCAGTGCTGGAACAGCCAGACGCACTGGCGACTGGCTCCCGCCAAACTAGACACCTCTGTCTATTCCCCAGTTGGGCCACCATCTCCGCAGAGATCTGCCAGCGATTGCCAGAGCTCCGCGCTGCCAGAGTTCTTGCCTCGAGTTCGGGTTAACTGACCCCGAAACGATTAGCAGCGACGGCGGTCCGCGGGTTGAGAGCCAGCGACAAATGAACAAAGGGTCGATCCTGGCTCCCTGCCTCCTTTTCTGGCCGAGATCGGGCCGAGGAGAGCCACAAGGAGAGCCCGGGCCAAATTGTTCGATTGTTTATGGCTGCCAACAACGCCCACCGAGTGGAGAGTGGAGTCGCGGCCAAGTGAGAAACCAGCAACAATCATCTGCCGTCCGATAAAGTGCCAGGTATCCCCTGCCCACCTGAATCCCCCTCCCTCCTTCCTCTCTCCTCTCCCCCTCTCTCTGTGTGTTTTTGTTGTGTCGCTTATCGGCGAGGATCGATCGCAGCTCCAGCTCTTCTGGGGAGCAGGAGGAGGAGCAGGGGGAGCAGCGAAGCTGAAGACGGCGGCCGAGCTGATTTAACAAATTGATAAACAATTGTTGGCGTTGGCCGCAGGGCGGGGAGGCGTACAGAGGGGGGATCCCCTCACCCCCAAGCCACCGAAAGGTGTGTGGGGCGGCGTAACGTTACGAAACGGCTAAACAAACGATCGAACGATCGCAGTTTCAGCGAAGACTGCATGTTCCCAGATCCCAAATCGATTTCGTATGCCAATGCGTAGCCTTGGGATTCCTCCACGCACCAAGGGGTTAAGAAAAGTGCACGAGAGGTGTTCCAGCCTCAAATTCTTAACAGGTTTCGCAAAGACTCCATAAATGTAGAAAATCTAATAATCTGTTCGAGGACTTTCTCTTTTAATCTAAGAACTCAGATACCCATAAATACATTGATATATTTTTATATGCATTATTTTGCTTCTGGAGAAAGCATTTTGAAAAGGAAACCAGATAACATCTGGTGTGGGAAATCTACTTAAATTTTTCGCCATTTGAAACCTCCTAATCTTGGGGTTGCCAGAACCGAACCGAACCGAACCGCTCGAGAACGAAAACGAGGAGAGGGTGTTGCGATGGCACTCGCGGAGCAATCGCTGGTGGAGATCTGCTGCCCCAACTGCCACACCAGCGAACCGCCGAGGAGAGAGATCCCGGCCAGGGCTAATCCAGCTGTCGCTGGGGGCAGGGCTGTGGATCCCAGTCGCAGTCCCAGCCAGAGCCCAGAACTCAGAGCCAAAGCCACAACTGAAACCAAAAGCAAAACCAAACCAAACCACAACCAAAACCAAAGGCCATTGTTAGCTGTTAGTCTCCCGTTCGCACTCTATCGGCACTCGGCCATCTCGCCGCTCCTCTCCGCTCCTTTCCGCTCCTCCCCGCGCAGAAGGGGCTTCTTTCTTCTCCCGGACAAAACACTTTACGTGTGCGGCTTATCGCCACCCAATCGAAGGCAATAAATATCTTACAAATAAGCAGAATGCCTCGGAATGCCAGCGAGCCCTTCGATCGGGGGCCAGCGGGAGTGCGATTCTTCTAACCGATTGCTCACGTGCAGAATTGTGTGAATTCGTGAAAAATCGACGGCGGCAATTAGGGCGGGCCGTCAATAGTTTGGCAACAGTTGCGGCAATTGTTGCGGTGGCACCACCAATACACAGGCACCATCACACAAACGGCAGCAATCACGGGCAATTCAAAAGACTCAGGCGACGAACTTGGTGTCCACAGGAAAAAAAGTTTGAACCTTCTTTTTATATTGAAATTGATATGGAAAATATTGTTAAATTAGTGATATAATTTCGTGCCAGTGATTATTTTTGTTTTTTTTTTAAATCCTTTCAAGGAAAACTAATATAATTTCGGTTTGTGGATAAATGTTCTTCTTTTTTCCAATTGCTCGAGACTCGTTCGCTCTGGATGTGCTGACATTTCAATAGCCATCAATTGACAGGTCAACGCGCATCCTCGCCAGCCCCGAGAAGGGGATCCACGGGCGGGGACTCCGGCAGGGGCCTTTGGGAGCTGCGGCCCGCACGAGCAGAGCAAATGTTCGAGGCGGTCGAGATGTCGAATTTCTGGCGAAGCGAGATGCAAACTGCAAACTGCGACGCTTATCCGGCGGCTCCATCTGCATGCCATGTGTGTGCCATGTCCATGTCCACGTCCACTTGCACATCCACATGCACATCCAGCGACCGCCGCCATAATCTCGGCCAGCATCGCCGTTGGTCGTTATAATATTTCGCCGTGGCCAAAACAGAAACAAATCAGATGTCAGTTCGGGGATTCTTTGCAGCTTCTCGAGCTCTGCGGCGATCCGCGGGCCCTAATCATCGGTGGCCAGTGGCCAGTGGCCATGGCCACCATGCGCTTTTCTTTCCCCTCCCCTCCGCCAGCGTTTTCCACGTAAGAGATGGTCAGCGAGGATAAAGCAGAGCGCTGGGCAGCAGCTTGTCCAGCGGGTCCTCTTGTCGCATTGTTTTCACAGCTCGACCACTGACAATTTGTTCGATAATAATTGCCAAGGCAGCCGGCTGACACATAGATTCCGCTGCGTCGGGTCCCCGCATCCATCTCCGGGGGAGGTGGGCGATGGGATGCCGCGGATTCTGGGAAGCCAATTTGAGCCACTAAACTGCCATGTGGCTGTCTGACCCCGGACTTGATTCCCATTCCCAGGAATGCGTCTAACGTTCTAGGGAAAGAGCTCTGATCTTTCGAATGCGAATGATATCCTTTAAACAAAGGATTACTTCTGAACCCAAATAATTAATGCAGATAAATGAAGATTCTTAATTATTACACAATCGAATTTAAATACGTTAAGTTTCAAGATAAACACACTTTCTGAATCAAAAGATACTCTATATCATAAACTTTGCCATTTTCAGATTCCAAAGATTTGACCGCCCAGGAAATGGGCGAGGACAAGCAGCAGCTGCTGGAGGACCAGCTGGAGGACCAGTTGGAGGACTCGCGGGAGCAGCAGGAAAACACCAACAATATCAACAACAACAACAATAACAACGATGATGATGATGGCGGAGATGAGGATGCGGCCTTCGATCAGCCAGAAGAGACTAATCCCGAGCGGGATCAGGATTTGGGGGAGACGGAGATGGACTCGAACCAGGATCCCCGGCAGGAGGAGCCCGACGAGAGCCCCAGCACTCCGCCGCGGAGTCCCTGCTCCCCGCAGCTGATCCCCAAGCTGGAGCAGCCCTCCACTCCGCCCTCGGAGGCGGAGCCCTCGCCGTGCCCCTCGCCCAAGTTCCCCAAGCTGCGGCTCAACGCGCTCCTCGCCTCGGACCCCGCCCTCAAGCCGGACGCCAAGGAGCTCACCCTGCCGGACTCCCGCCTGCTGGCTCCTCCGCCTCTGGTCAAGCCGGAGCCCCCAGCCCCGTCCCAATCCCAATCGCAGTCGCAGCCGCAACAGCAGCCGGAGGTGGTGGAGCCCCTGCTGAAGCCGGCCAGGTTCATGTGCCTGCCTTGCGGCATCGCCTTCAGCTCGCCCTCGACGCTGGAGGCCCACCAGGCGTACTACTGCTCCCACAGGATCAAGGACACGGACGAGGCCGGCAGCGACAAGTCGGGCGCGGGCGGGTCCGGGGCCTCCGCCGGCGAGGGAGCGGGCTCCTCGGGCGGATCCGCCGAGCCGCCGGCCAAGATGGCCAGGACCGGGAAGCAGTACGGCTGCTCGCAGTGCTCCTACAGCGCGGACAAGAAGGTGTCCCTCAACCGGCACATGCGGATGCACCAGACCTCGCCGGCGGCTCCCACTCTGGCCAGTCTGCCCAGCATGCCCAATCTGCCCAGCCTGCCCAATCTACCTGGTCTGCTCCAGAACGGGATGACGCCGCCGCAGCTGGGAGTGGGAGTGGCGGCCAGCCAGCTGGAGGACAGCCCTAGTCAAGTGAGTAAAGTGTTCAGGTGCCAGTTCCGCGTGGAATGCCTTGCTAACTGCGGTGTAATCCCCTCCAGCAGCAGACGGACCGCTACTGCAGCCACTGTGATATCAGGTTCAACAACATCAAGACCTACCGGGCGCACAAGCAGCACTACTGCAGCTCCAGGCGGCCGGAGGGCCAGCTGACCCCCAAGCCGGACGCCTCGCCGGGAGCGGTGGTGGGATCGGGGGCCGCAGGAGGAGCCACCACCCCGGCGGCTGCTCCAGGAAAGCTGAGCCCGCAGGCCAGGAACAAGACGCCCACTCCCGCGATGGTGGCTGCTGCTGCTGCCGCGGCGGCGGCCGCCTCCCTCCAGGCCTCCTCCCACTCGCACCCGCCCTTCCTGGCCCTGCCCACCCACCCGATCATCATCGTGCCCTGCTCGCTCATCCGGGCGGCCAGCTTCATCCCGGGTCCCCTGTAAGTTGCTGATGATTCCGTTTCGATTGGGTGCCTAACTTCTCTGATCTGCAGCCCCACTCCGAACTCGGGCATCGTGAACCCGGACACCACCTGCTTCACCGTGGACAACGGCACCATCAAGCCCCTGGCCACCGCGCTCATTGGAGCCTCCTTGGAGCCGGAGCGCCCCTCGGCGCCTTCATCCGCCGCGGAGGCCACGGAACCCAAGAGCAGTCCGCCGGAACCCAAAAGGAAGGAGGCGGGCAGCAGTCGGTAAGTTCAAAGCCAACTGGATGGTGATCTTCTGAAAGGGGAACCCCAGTATAACCCAATATCTGCCTCCAGGGAATCTGCGCCTCTGGATCTCTCGCTGCGGCGGTCGCCCATTCCGCTGAGCTCCCTCAGCCTGAGGCAGCGCCAACTGCGCAGTGCCCTCCTGGACGTGGAGGAGGTGCTCCTGGGAGCCGGCAAGGAGAACGTGGAGACCCCGCGCAGGGGACGCAGCGTGACCCCCGAGCAGATCGTGTGCGCCCCCTCCCTGCCGAGCAGTCCCTCCATGAGTCCCTCGCCCAAGCGGCGGGCCATCAGCCCGCGGAGCTCCGGGGCAGGGAGCGCCTCCTCGATGTCGCCGCCGGGCCTCAACGTGGCCGTGCCCCACCTGCTGGACATGCGCTCCATGCTGCCCGCGGACTTCGGCCTCTCGGAGTCGCTGCTGGCCAAGACCAATCCGGAGCTGGCGCTCAAGCTGGCGGCCGCAGCTGCAGCAGCGGTGGCGAGCGGCGGCGGGGCGGCAGCCTTTCCGGCGGCTCCCCTTCCCGCCCAGACCGGCGGCGGCAACCCGGGCGGCGGCGGCGGAGCATCCGGTGGCCCCCAGCAGCCGCAGATCTACGTGAAGCAGGGCGTGTCCAAGTGCAAGGAGTGCAACATCGTGTTCTGCAAGTACGAGAACTACCTGGCTCACAAGCAGCACTACTGCGCGGCCAGGAACCAGGAGGGATCCGGGTCCGGCGAGGGGGAGGCCAAGTCGGCCGTTTCCCCCTCGAATCCCGGCGCAGGGGGATCGGCGGGAGGAGGAGCGGGAGGAGAAGCTGCCGCTTCCGGGGTGGAGACCACCCCGGTGGCCTACCAGCAGCTCATCTGCGCCGCCTGCGGCATCAAGTACACCTCGCTGGACAACCTGCGGGCGCACCAGAACTACTACTGCCCCAAGGGAGGAGCGGCCGCTGCGCCCGCGGTGGCGCCCCCCGATCCCGGACAGCTGGCGCTGGCCAAGGAGAAGTGCGGCAAGTGCAAGGGCCTGCACGAGATCGGGCTGCCCTGTCCGGCGCCCGCGCCACCAGCCCCCGCCTCCAACTCGAACTCGAACTCCGGCGCGCAGCCCGCCTCGAACAGCCTGAACAAGTGCCCCGTGTGCGCCGTGGTGAGTCCCACGGCGGCGCTGGCCAAGAAGCACATGGAGATGCACGGCACCGTGAAGGCGTACCGCTGCAGCATCTGCCAGTACAAGGGCAACACGCTGCGCGGCATGCGCACCCACATCCGGACGCACTTCGACAAGAAGACCAGCGACGTGAACGAGGAGCACTACATGACCTGCATCTTCGAGGAGGAGGGCTCCGCCGCGTCCCAGGAGCTGCCTCCCCTGGCGGCAGCAGGAGTGGCTGCAGCGGCGGGCCACGATGCCATGGAGCACCCCTCGCAGATGTTCAACTGCGACTACTGCAACTACGCCTCCAGCTACAAGGGCAATGTGGTGGGTACTCCTCGAACGCCTCGACAGTTTTCGAGCCCTTAACCATCTGGAGTTCTTTCAGCTGCGACACATGAAGCTGATGCACCCGCACGTGGCCCTCAACTCGCCCTCCATCTCCCCCGACGCCAGGGATCAGGAGGTAACCTCGAATCCCACCTCGAACCTGCTCTCCAACTCCGATGGCTCCAACGGGGAGGCGACCAGGTAAGATGCGGAGTACAATGGATCTTTAAACACAATTAAAACCCTTCAACTCACAGCTTCCACATCAAGTCGGAGCCCCTCGATCCTCCGCCGACGAGCCTGAGCCTGAGCCTGGTGCACGAGAACAACAACTCGCCGGTGACCACGCCGCACATCAAGGACGAGCCCATGGACGTCCTAGCAGAGGGGCTTCCCCCGGCGGACTGGTGCCGCCGATGGCCTCTCCGCTGAGCAACAGCAGCGTGGCCGCCGCAGCCGCCGTCGCCGCCGCCGAGGTGATGAAGAAGTACTGCTCCGCCTGCGACATCTCCTTCAACTACGTGAAGACCTACCTGGCGCACAAGCAGTTCTACTGCAAGAACAAGCCGGTCCGCCCGGAGGCGAGCGACAGCCCCAGCCCGAACCTGATGGGCGGGGCCGGGGGCGTGGGCATCGGCGGGATAGTGGGCGGCATGGTGGGCGGCCACGGGCAGCAGAAGAACAAGGAGAACCTGCAGGAGGCGGCCATTTGAGAGCGCCAGCTGCGGTGGGAGGCGCAGCGCAGGCAGCTGGAGTGGTACTACACCTGCTTCTGAGCAGGGAACCTTCTCGAATCGCAAGCACAGCAACCCTCAATCAACGACAGTATTCCCGGAGAATCTCCCTGTCGCTGCCCTCCACTTCCACTTCCACTCCCGCTCCAGGTTCCAATCGCCACTGGGGGAGCGACTCCTTCGACCGACTCCTTCCGATCGATAGCAGTAGGCACACACATACTGTTCCGTACACGCATATATAGCTTACCTATACATACAGATAACAGATATAGACATATAGATTACCTAAACGTAGACGCGTACCCATGCAGTGGGAACCATGACATATAATGCATGCCAAAGCTTACCACTTAGACAGAAACTAATCGAGTGCAAGAAACTACAAGTTTTCAACGGATTGCGCGGACGGAGAAGACGGAGTGTTCCAATCCAATAGATCCAATATTATTGTGTAATTGGCTCGCTGTTCCACGCAGAAGAGCGAGAGATCCAAACTGTGTAATTTAACTGAGTACATTATTTATTAAGTGTGTGCGACAATAAAACTAATTAATTTATTCAACAATAAGTGAATGCGCTTTTTCTGATCAGTTATTTAAAAAGTACATTTTTAAATTTAACGGATACGAAATGGGATGCCACGTTGATACAAAAGGAGTGAACTGAGCAGCACGATCAAATTAACGGTAAGTTAATCAGCTGTTCAATTTGGCATGTTGAAACTGCAAAGTGCTGCCAGATCGGCGGTGGAAGATTGCCTAAAGTGACCGTTTATATCCGGAAAAAAACCCTCAAAAAAATACGGAAAAACCGAAGTGGAAAATCAAGAGCAAATTAATTGTGTTATATTATACGTTAAAAAATTCATGAACGCAACTACACAGGCTGATCTGCGCAATTTTCCCAATTTAAACAGTGTAACTAAAGTGCTGAAACATGCATTCTTGCCAAATAAAGATCAACCAGTTTTTCATTGTTTTCAGCTTACTTTTCCTAACAGTTCCTGGCAACAAGCCTCTGAAAGCAAATTCATGAACATTTACAACTAGTGCATTTTATTTCACTTCATATATGTATGTATGTAGTACATGCGACAGATTGATTAAACAGTCCATTATTTAAAAAATAAAAGTAAAGAGAATTTGAGCACACTCCTGGTTTTCTGGAATTACTGGTGCTCCGCCAAGATCTCTGATTGCCAAGGAGCGTCATTAACTAAATGCCACGTAGCGCCTTAGGCAATGACGCACCAAGGGGCTTAACCAGGGTTAATACAACTTATTACTCTTTTTTCATATCTTGAATTTAATGGTATAGCTGGAAGCTAAGCAATTTCAATAGAGTGTATAGTTGTGTGCAGGGCCTCGAATCAAAAGGTAGACTTAGTACAAGTAAATAGATGTGGAGAGCATTCTCGAAAACGCTTCCCGCCTAGATGTGTTTGTTTATTAATGTCTATGGGGAGCCAGGCGCAGGACGCCGACTACTCGGTGGCGGCCATGGCGCGGGCCTGGGCGCGGACTCGCTTCTCGTACTCCAGACGGTTCTGGCAGTAGATGGTGTAGGCCTCCGCCTGGGCCGGGTCTTTGATGTTTGGCTCGTTGAGCAGGTCCTGGATGCCCAGCAGGATCTGCTTGATGGTGATGGCTGGGCGCCAGTCCTTCTCCTCGTCGAGCAGCGACAGACAGACGGTGCCCGAGGGATAAACGTTCGGGTGGAACAGTGGTGGCTCAAACTTGCACTTGGGCGGCGAGGTAGGGTAGTCGTCCTTGAAGATCATGCGCAGCTTGTAAAGGCCGCCCTCCCAGGGTGTAGACTTTTTGCCGGGGATGGCACACTCCCAGATCATCAAGTTAAGGGTGCCATCAGGATTCTTGGCGGGACGGGCCACAAAGCCGAAGGGGTGATCCTTTCTCCACGCCTTACGCTCCTCGCCCAAACGTGTGATTGCGATGCCGGACATGCTTGACTCTCTGGTCTTCTACTTCCGGTCGTTGTATCCTGCAAGTCCTGCTCTTAAGCTTCCGGCGATCCCACTGCTTTTTCGCACGCGCGTCTGTCTGCAAGTATGTGATTGTGTGTGTAATCGGCTGCAATGTGTCTTTTGTCTCCGGTGCTCATTCGTGACGACTTCTCCGGGAACCTACCTTCTCTTTTGCGGTTTACGCTTCAAGGTGCTACGAAAATGCCTTTTTTGGCCTTTCGCTTACGATTATTTACCGTTTTCGCAAATTCTAGCGCAATTTTTTCAGCAAATGAACGCTTGTGGTCGCAAAAGGTCTAAAATTGTCACGGTGAACGGTCTCTCTCGCTTGTTTCCGATAGTTAATGTGACCCTTTGACATTAAACGCAAATAAATACCAAAACCTCTTTTAAATGTTATTTTTTAAATGTGAATTTTCAAACTGAGTACAGCTGTTAATTAGTAAAATGAAGAGTTAATACAAAATAAAATCAATTGATTACAAGAGGTTTTATTTCTTGAATTATGTTTTTACAGTCAGCTTTTGCTATGTAAATTCTGAAAACTTTGTAGATGGAGACCTTGAAAAGATTTACTGATAGCAAGCGATCATGATTAACCTAAATTTAATATTAATTCCCCATGCATTGCTACATATCTTTAAACAGCAAAAAAATAAACAACGTTACGAAAATTTTAATTTATTCGCATTTGAACTGTGAACATAAATGTTTCATAAAATGCAATAAAGTATTCGTTATGTCAAGTGGTTCGCTAATAAATTAGAGATCTATCAAAAGATTTATTAAACTCACTGTTTTACAAAACTTGGAATATATTTGTTTGGAGACTGCTTTCTTAAATACACGCCTCTACGCGGAGCCACATAAATAGAACTCTACATTTAAATTTGATTCTGGTAAAAAAGTTGACAATTATTTTCTACAATTGTAACCTAATCGAACTAAATAAGGTTGTTGTGCCTGGCCAAGGAACGTAGCTAACTCAATTGGTGGATCGTCTTTTGTAGCGGTGTGCCGTAGAAGTTACGGGTTGTGATAATGTGAAGCGATAACGAAAGGAATCTTAGCTAACTGCAGAAGACATTTTGCGATGGAACGAATGGAGATGCTTTTCGAGAAGGCGCGTCCTGGTCTTACTTGACCTTTTTGGAGTCCTTCTTTTTGCTGCTGGACGAGCTAGTGCCCTCTTCCTTCTCCTTCTTTTCTTTCTTTTCGGGCTTCTCCTCGGGATGGTCCGCATAGCTGGGGAAGAAAAAAGGGATTTAGCACCCAGCCAATTTATTTTAAGCCGTACACTTACGCAAAGAGCACCTTCAACTCGCCGCGGATGAGGGCCACCAGGAGCGGGGTGCCCATGCAGGCTGGCACCAGGTATAGCAGTGCTGGCTGCGCGTGTTTGAATACGTGCATCACAAAGATGGTGGCCAGCAGGCCCAGGAAGTAGGCGATCAGCGTGGAGTAGAAGTAGATGCGCGTCTTACGCTTCTTGCTGTCGTCGAAGCGCAGCAGCAGGGCAATGAAGATGCCTGGGATGACGATGTCTCCCAGTCCCAGCATCGCAAAGTTCGAGGCGTTCAGTCCATTCTCGATCAGGTCCTGGGGAAACACTAGCTTAATGGGCGCCTCGAAGCTCTTGGCCACGGTGACCATCACGTTGGTGCCGAACACCCAGAAGATGTCGTAGAAGAAGAGCCCGCTCAGCAGGATCACGCCCGTCACAAAGTTGTTCAGGTGCAGCATCTCCACGCCATTGATGGCGAAGGCCAGTCCGAACAGGTTGTTGGCGATCCAGTGCTTCTTCAAGAGGTACCACACTCCGATGACCGAGGAGATAACCAGGCAGACAATGTCGTGCGTGGAGAACTTGTAGTTCACGATGTCCTCCTTGTGCTTGCCCTCTCCCTTCGTAAAGAGGATGTGAAACGGCACCTTCGGCAAGGCGGCGGGCATCAGCGAGTTGATCACGGGGCTCAGCAGGTGCGCCAGCGCGATCACGCCCAGCACGAAGAAGTAGCCGGTCAGCAGGTAGTTGATGTGCACCTTCTGGAACACCTTGAAGAACAGGTAGAGTCCGAAGAGCGCTGCCGAGGCGATCAGCGGGAAGTACATGGCGTCCTTCTTTGTCATCGTGTCGGCCTTTTCGCCCGTGGACTAACAGTAAAGAAAATCGGTAAGTTGGGCTCAGTTTTGAATCTGAACACGTACACACCTTCTTCAGCTTGTGCAGCTTCACTGAGCGGATGGAGCCGAAGATGATGGGCAGCATGGCCATCACCACCAGGCTGCTGTAGGCAACCGCCATGCCCTCCGGCGTCGAGGGGGGCTTCTTCTCCGCTTGCGCCGACTCGTTTTTAGGCGCATTCACGTTCTCGATGATGCCCTGAAGCACCTCCTTCACGGTTCCAATCACTTCTTCCGCCATGGTGTCCGATCCAATCCTGTCTTGAGCTAAGCTGGGTACTTCCTATGCGAATGGCCGGCTTGCGGGGTTGAAAAGTGAAGTGACACGCAGCTGCACACGTCAACAATCTCTGCACACTAAAAGAGAACAATCGAAAAAATACCGCAAAAATACCGCACCGGTTCATCCCGCACAAATAAAATATACCGAGTATATACCGAGTGAATTTCAAAAATATTAATTCAGGACCTTTTTTTTGGCCCAAAAAAAAACGGTATTTTTGACCAGTAACAAAATACAAAAAAATTTTATTCTGGCCAAAATATTTCAAACAAGAACGGAAGCTAGCTTCGGCAAGCCGAAGTCATCACAAATGCTTTACTTCCACATCGAAGTAAGGATTGTCACCGATTGTGAATATGACAGCTAGTCGTCTGAATTTCATGAAATTTAATTAATTTATTTATTAAATAAAATCCATGAAAATAATTACTATCAGTGGCATGCCACTTCAAAATCTAATTAAATTAGAAAAGTTATGGACTTAGAATTAATGATTTTTGTCCGATTTCAGCAAACACCATTTTTTTGGATATTGCGGAAGGGTTGAAGAAACTGGCCAAAAAACAAAAAAAAAAACAAAAAACTTATGATGCAGCTTGTTAGAGAATTAAAACATAAACTTTTAGAGGTATGCCACTTAGAACTTAGATTTAGTGAATTTTGTTAAAATTTTCAGCAAACCTTTTTTTATGTTAAATTTCATATAAATTGGCAAAATCGGCCGAAAATAAAACATAAACTAATGACACAGTTGGTTAGATAATTAGAATACGAACTTTTAGAGGTATGGTTAATTTTAAGCAAACCCATTTTTTAAAAATTCGGAAAGGGTTTGCATCATAAAAATTAAAAAACAAATCACAAAAAAATGAACTAATAATTATTCTTATTTTTTTAACCTTATTTTAGGTCATGGAAGTGACGGCAAATACACACGGCATCAGCCTAGGCAGCGAACGGGGACTCAGAGTTGGATTCTAAATTTAAGAGTAGTAAATTGACTAGACTCGTATTTAAGACTTACAAGACATATGTACATAGATTGTACATTATAAGCCTAGGAAATAGTTATACTAAATTATGTGAATTAAAGAAAAACTATCGAAATTGTAGCATACTATTGGGGGTACGTGCTGCTCTTGCACATTTCCACAAACATTTTTGGGCAAGAAACAACTAACAGCCAAACAAAGTCTAGGAGACCAGAGAAGCCCAACTATCTATGCCACCGAATGCAATTTAATGGTCATTTTACATATTAGTTATATAAATATTAGTTAGTTCATAAAAACCGCTATGGAAAAGATTAGTTGGCAATTTTGGTAGAAAACGCTATATTTTGTGTGGTTTTTTGGTCATAAGAAGTCAAAAAGTGACTTACAGCGGAACCAAACGTATTTGGAAGAGTACTTGCTCAGATATTTGAATGGTTGTCGAGCACAACTCTTCGATCCTCCCCAAAGATGATAACACGCCTCCCACGCAAAATGAAATAAAATGGGCTGTTATCTTCGACTGCGACAGAGCAGCCTCGGCCATGTGCCAAGCCGCAAGCTGAGCTCAGTTTCCATTTAGCCTCTGAAAGGAAAGCACTGAAAGGAGCACTCCCAACCCAACCCAACCGGACTCAACAATGCCGAGCTCCCCCCAGATAAAGTCACCCGTTTCCGGTCCCGGACTGCTGCAAGTGGCAGTAGGTCTATTATTCGTGGTTTCCGGATCTCTGGGTAAGCGAGTTCGATCCAGCAGCAGCCCCAGTCGCCGATAACCCCGAATATGCATGTTCCGCAGCTGCTCCGGACTCCAAGAGCGACAATGTCAAGGCCTTGGACCGCCTGCACGCCGAGCTGCTCCTCAACTACGACGCGAGCGTGCAGCCCCAGTTCGAAGGAGCTCCCTCGAAGGTGCTCCTCGGCCTGGTGGTCAACTACTTGGACATCGACGAGATGAACGGCAAGCTGACGGTCCACTGCTGGCTGAACATCGTGAGTCGGACAAGTGCCCCAGATAAATTTGTTTTTTCCCCAGCTCACTTGAGTTTGATAAGACAGCATTCCGTAAAAATAATGCGAGCTCCTCATGAATGGAATTTGTGAAGGCATTATCGAAGTTAGTTTTGTAAAACTCTGAGAGAAAATGTGGATTCGCAGAGTCCAATCGATTGTTATGTTTCTAATTTATAGCAGTTTGTGCGATTTGAGTTTGAAACGTACTTTATTTTGTGAATCACTGCAAGTAGCAAGATAAGGTTGTATTCCTCTGACCGAATGTTCGGGTAAAACAATCCATAGAAAAGCATTTTATGTTTTATCAACAACCCATTTAATCACAACACTTTGGATAATAGTAACTCATTTAAAACATGACATACAATATGATATCCCTTTTTCAATGTAAATAATCCCCGCAATCCTTGCAGTGGTGGAGGGACGAGGAGCGCACGTGGCAGCCGTCCAAGTACGACAACATCACTCAGATCTCGCTGGGCGCCGGCGAGGTGTGGACCCCGCAGATCACGCTCTTCAACGGCGACGAGGGGGGCCTGCTGGCGGACACCCAGGTGCTCCTCAGGCACGACGGCCTCTTCCGGCGGACGCCGCCGGCGCTCTACACGGCGTACTGCGACCTCAACATGCTGAACTGGCCGTACGACCGGCAGACCTGCACGCTGAAGATCGGCTCCTGGGGCCTGAGGAACATCGCGGCGGACGGGAACGGCAGCCTGGCCAGGAACGACGACCAGGTGCAGTCGCCCGAGTGGCAGATCGTGGACTCCCGGGCGCGGTTCGTGGCCCAGGACTACTACGGCTACCTGGAGTACACGCTGACGGTCGAGCGGCGCTCCTCGATGTACACGGCGGTCATCTACACGCCGGCCTCCTGCATCGTCGTCCTGGCCCTCGCCGCCTTCTGGCTGCCGCCGCACATGGGCGGCGAGAAGATCATGATCAACGGGCTGCTCACCATCGTGATCGCCGCCTTCCTCATGTACTTCGCCCAGCTGCTGCCCGTTCTGTCCGACAGGACGCCGCTCGTGGGTGAGTCCCCCTTCCCTTGCAGCTTGAAGCGACCTGCTAACCCACAGAGTTCCCACAGTGATCTTCTACAGCAGCACCCTGCTCTTCCTGAGCCTGGCCATGGTCCTCGAGGTGGTGGTCCTCTACATGGCCACCGCCAAGCACAAGAAGCGCCTGCCGGAGGCGCTGAGCAAGCTGCTCCACGGCAGGGCGGGCACCTGGCTGCTCCTCTCGCAGTTCAGCACCTCCGGCCAGTTCCGGGCGGAGGCGGACGAGAACCACTACGACACGCCATACGACGCCGAGGAGGAGGAGCACCCGACCAGTCCGCTGAGCCTGAGTGCCGCGGAGGGGCCCAGCTTCAAGGACCTCCAGTCGGACTGGGCGCTGCTGGCCACCGCCGTGGACCGCGTCTGCTTCGGGGTCTTCAGCCTGGCCTTCCTGATCCTGGCCAGCTACTGCTCCGTGTGAAGTCCTGGAACGCAAGCCTCAGAATTATGTACTCCGGAGGAAGGGTATTTTTGCTTTACGCTCTCATGTATTTACTCTGTGCGAACTTAGAATTACTCAATGGCGAGACCCCGATTGGAATAAAGGATCTCCGGCGAATGTGTGCTTACGACTACGTAGAAGCGAAGGATAACAGGCGAACTAACAAATTGGCTCTCGTCTCCGAGTATTGCTCTGCGATGCTCCGGGTTATCACAATTCCCCAATTAACCCAAAGTAGCTGGAATTATGCGAAATGACCTTTTTACGGTCGAAGCTCTGACCCTCGCTGGGTGGTGGGAGGTGGCTGTCCGCCATTCACTCTCCGTGCGCAGTGGGTGGTCCTGCGCATCCTTAGACCCCCTCCTCCTCCTCCTCCTTCCCCTTTTTTTGGCTTACAACCCCGGCGACAAATTGGGGTTGCTGCGGCTCAGTTAAATGCATTCGTGGTGGGAGTGCCCGGGTCGTAGCTGCCCGCGGACGAGGACGTCCTCGCAGGGTCTCCGGCTGGCGGCCCGCCTAGGAATGGAGCGGAGAAGTTCGAGGAGGCGGCGGGGGCGGAGGCAGAGGCGGAGGAGGAAGGGGCAGCGGGTCCTTGGCCGGGCGAAGGCTGCGAGGAGGCCGTCGAGGGCGAGGGGAAGCCCAGGCTGGAGCTCGTGGAGGCGGGCGACTGGTGGTGCGGGTGCAGGAAGTGCGCCTGGCCCAGCTGGTGGTGCGGATGCGCGTGCTGGTGGTGCGAGTGCGGGTGCGGGTGGTGCAGCGCCGGTGGGTGGCGGCCCAACTGCATCGCCCCTCCGCCGTGGGGGTTGTAGGAGCCCAGCATCCCGGAGGCGGGGTCGCCGCCCTGCGCCTGAGCCTGGCAGGCGGCCATCAGTCCGTGGAAGTCGAACTTGTAGGCGTACCGCTTGCCGTGCACCTTCGTCATGATGTTCTTGTCGTAGTAGTACCTGCAAAAAGGACACCTTTACTAGCCACTCAAATTGATTTAGAAGCAGTAGAAACTGCAGAAACAGTAGAAGCTTCAAAGCTTGTTGAGCTGCATGCTCTACTTTGCTTGTAAATATTTATAAAATAATAAAATAAGTAAGATAAGTTTATTTCGAACCTATTTCAATCAAACTAAATATCTTTTGAAATCACAGAAATTAAATGCTCTTGAATTCAAGTACATTTTTCTGCTTCGTAAGATTGTAAGTTGCTTACAATTTAGTTCTGTTGAATTAAAGTTAAGGATGTGTAAGGATGTGGCTGGGTGGCTTACCTGAGGGCACGGCTCAGCTTGTCGTAGTTCATGTTGGGCTTGGCCTTGCGCTCGCCCCACCGGCGGGCCACCTCGTCCGGGTCGATGAGCCGGAACTCGCCCGATTGGCCCTCCCAGCTGATGGCGGCGGCGTTGGACGAATCGGCGAGCAGCTCCAGCAGAAACTGCCACAGCTGGATCTGGCCCCCGAGCCCTGGGCGACCAATCGGTGCGAGGCAGCGTTCAGCAGCTGATACGGATCTGGAAAGAGAGGCGGCGAGTGGAGCGTTAGTGGCCAGAGCTCGGGTGCAGATACAGCCCCCCAGATACAGATACAAATTAAGATACAGATACAGATACAGGTACAATGGCCGAGAGAGCGAGCGAGCTGGAGAGAGCCGCGAATGAAAGCCAACCCGGCCAAACGAGATTTTCTGCGGGACTTTCTGGAGTGGGAGCGGACGTGGCAAGAGTGCCAAGTGGCACCGAATGCCAAAAGCCAGCACGGATTCACAGAAAATCAACCGCAAGCGGGCATAAATCCTGCACATCACACTGCACGGCGAGAAAAACCGGTCTTCGAACAATTCTTAACTACCTCTGCGACTAAATATGGAGCTTTTTAAAAGAATAACTTTAAAATAAATAAAATGATTACGCACTGAGAATGTTAATTATTACGAAAAGCTTAAGGTGAAATAAAAATAGTATTCGTTTCGTTTAATAAAAGCCGTTGAATGAATGCATTCTATTTTAAGACTTTTTAAAAACATTTCATTTTTTGAAAACATTGTGATTTAAAAACAAACGATCAGTGCAGAAGGAATTCCTCCACAAAACGATAAAATTGTGGAAATAGAAATATACACAAGGCACAGCAGCAATTCACAAGAAACAAGGTGGTTCCTTCAGCTACTAAGAGTACTTTTTCTCGACTGTTGGCCATGGGGACATTCCCACATCCCGGTGTTTGTTCACTTCTGCGGGGAAAACCCTCGAAGTGGCGCTGCTGAGCACGAAGGTGCCATAACCACTCGTGACTCATCCGGCGATCAAGCAATGCCGCGGCCACAAGACACAGTTCCGACCTCTAGAGAATGCCAGAGAGTTGGACCCATTCACATTTCTAGGCGCACCGCTCGCCGGAAATGCCAGAGATCGGCGGTGGCGGTGGCGGTGCTGGTGGTTGCCATCCGAGGAGATCTCCTCGCCGCCGTCCATTCATTCACAAAAGCTCTTCGGCTCGGCCGTCTCAGCGGAAATTCCGATGAATTTTCGGCCATCTGCGCGGCTCTCTTACCATTGAAGATCATCGGGCTGTGCGGATGCTGGTGGTGCTGGTGGTGGTGGTGGTAGTGGTGGTGCACGGCCGCGTGGTGCGGGTGGGGATGCTGCCCGACCGGCGGAGCCGCCTGCATCCGGAGGCCGAAGCGCCGGTTGAAGTCCTCCGAGAGGCGCCACATGACACCCACGTCCACGCTGACACTCATTATTTTAAGTTTATTTTAAATGACAAAATTTCAACACAATTCCCGTGAATTTTTTCGGTTGTGGTATTTGGCCAAAGTTCAATTAATGTTCGACTATAGGAAATATTTCATGACATCGAACTGTTTTTCTTAACATCATTTATATTGCCGACGGTTTTGTAATAATAACTTTATATTGTTTCCTCTTACTTTAAGGATAGATATCGTTTTATATGTTGGATTTTTCACAGGAGAACAATGAGTTTTTCATAAAAGATTACCAGTTTTTTCAACATAATTATATTACTAATTCTTATAAGTTTAAACTTTGGATAGGGGTAAAGTTGTGTCCGGTTTTGTCAATATTAATAACTATTTGCCAGTTAAAGTTTTTTTCCCGGGAGCGTGTGAACTGCGTCGGACGAGGGCCATTTGGCAACTGAAACTTCAGCCAGCAGCGCTGTCCGGACTCCGCTCCTCATCACCAGACGGATGCCTTGAGTCCTCGCCGAGCATCCGAGGAGCAGGCGAAGCTCCGGGAACGATTACGGCTCACCTGCGCAGCTGGTGGTAAATGCTGCTTCGGCATTCGGCGGAGAAGTCACAAAAGTCAGAGGCCACGTGCAGCCACTCAGCCACACCCCACCCACCTCCCACCATCCACCACCCACTCCACCCACCGAAAATCACACAATAAACAACTACGAAGGGTGCTCGTCAGTGGTGCGACTTTGAAATACCCAGTAGGAATCACTTGGTTATTTATAAATCCTCAGGGGATTTAATGGAAAATTAAAAAATAAACGGAATTGTTTTTGGTTTTCCCAAGTAATTGCTTGAATAAAATTAAAGACCTTGTCCACAAGAATTTACAGAAATATTTGTTAGTTTTTAGACAGCTTAGCTTTGAAGTTAAGTATGTCGTTTTGGTTGGCATCCTATAATCAATATACCCAGGATATATTCTTCTATAGGGTTGGCGAAAAGGGGCGGTGACTCAGGGATCGGACCAACAATCGCAGCCCACAACAACTGTAATCTGCGTGACGGCGACGACGCGTAATCCTCTTTGGCATAAAAAACAAATCAATTAAATCGACGTCGCCTGCTCTCGGGATCAGGGCGGCTATATGCATAGGTATAGAGCCCGGCCACGGACATATGCCAGACCCAAATCAGGGGGCTTTCCTCCGTCGCTCAGCCTCTCAGCTCTTCCTGCCACAGGAAGGATGCGACGAATGAATATTTTCCTGTGCCCGAAGCTGACCACCCGCAGAGCTGTTGTCACTGACAAACCGCCCGGAACCCCGAAACCACCCAAGGACAATCGCACCACCCACTCACACTCCCACTTTGCCGCCCGTCCGAAACTTGACTCGGCGACTTTTGCCGCTGGCGTGCGATTATTTTGATTTTATTATTAGATGCCACATCCTGCGAGAAATTATCATATTTACATCGTTTATTATTAAGTTCATCACTTGACGCGACCGCCCGCTAAGCCACGCCCCCACTCCGGATTTCCCCGCCCCCACTCGTCAGCAGTTAATAACTGGAAAAGTGTTGCATACTTTGCCGCTGTCGCGCAGAGATTTTCCCGAGCGATTTACGTTTATGGAGTCGGAAAGTTTTCGCAGAGCGGGAAAAGGTAATTAAAAGGTGGTTCGCTGGCAGGGGATTTCCCACTTTTCTTCTTTATCAGCACGCGCTAAATAAGGGGCGAATTAAGGAGGGCGTGGTGGGGGAAAAACAATCAATGGAACACATAAGTAACGCCCTTATCAGCCGGTCAACATCTTAATCAGTTGCCATTTACCGCCGGCGGAGGCCAAAAGGATTCAATTGATGCCTGACCACAAAGGATTCGAGGATGCGAGCGTCTGGGAATCGCACCACTGGGAACGGCACGTGAACCCAATTACCAAGCAGCTCAATCTCTGGACGCTGTAGATTTATGAGCTCCAAGATTAGCTCCTGCGTTCGGTCACTTTAGCTGGACGGCGAGAAATATGTGGATACCAACTTGATTACGGGAAGGGTTATCCGCATACTTGATTCCACTTGTCATTAGGGGAATCCGATATATAAGAGTTCCTTTCTTGAGATTTTATTTGTAAATGGAGAAACCTTTCTTGAATATCAGCAGATACTTTAGCAAACCTTTATCCCACTAGTACTCACTTGGCTCGTTGTCGTTGAGCATGGGACTCGTCTCGCGTCCCGTGGCGTGGTAGAGAGTCAGGGCGAAGTGCTTGGCCAGGAGCATGCCGCCGCGGCGGGACCCTGCGCAGACCCAGAAGTCGGCCCGGGTCAGCTCGCACAGCTCCTGGGCGTCCTTGGGGAAGCGCTCGATGTCCGGCTCCGGGTCCAGGCGGAACTTGCGCGTCGTCCACTTCACCCAGCTGGCGATGTCCTCGGCGGACCAGGCATGCGGGTCCACGGGCACCGCCACCGGCGAGATGCTCCGGCTGGAGTCGACGGAGCTCCTCCTGGACGAGCAAGGCGGCAGGGGCGAGGAGGCGGTGGGGGAGTGGGCGTCGCCAGGGGGAGGGGCACTGGCAAGTTGAGGGCGGGTGGTAAATTCGCGTTGCTTCTGCTGCTCCGACTGCTGGAGGAGGAGTCCGAGTCGGAGTCCGACTCCGTTGACAGGTCCGAGGACTCGCTGGAGTCGCTGGTGGAACTGCTGCTGCAGCGCCGCCTCCTCCTCGTCCTCCTGGCAGGGATCCCCTTCTCAGCGGCGGGATCCAGCGCCGTCTTCTTCTCCTTCGCTTCCAGTTGGCCCTCGCTTCCGCTTCCGGATCCGATGCTCTTTTGCCGGACATCCTGGTGCATGGCATCGAGTGGCCTCTGGTGGCACCAAACACTCTGGATCGTCTGGATGTGGAGTGGAATTTGGTTGATTTGGTTGTGGCTCTGGCGGCTATTCTGCAGAATAGCCATTAACTTGTGGAAAATTCTTTCTTGCACACGAGGGATTCACTATCAGCTGGGCTTTTTGTTTAGCTGCCTATTTTCACTTGGGTTCTTCATAATATTCTTTAGTTGATATTTAAGTATTTCTCAATGCAAATATTCAGCAGGTTTATTCTCGTTAACTTCACTTATGTTTCACCAAAACCCGAAATAATATTTTTTGGCGACTGTTTGCACAACAAAATCAATACTATTTGGATTAATCATAATATTCCTGGAATTGCACTTTGTGTCTTCGAACTTATTTATCGCCGGCAACCGGTTGAACGTGGGAAAGCGAAACGGATTTAGGATGTGGATTTATCATCCGGCTGGCTGGATGATTCACCTCGGGGCCAGGGTATTTCACCTGCTGGCCGAGCGCGCGGAGACAGGCTTTCCACGTGCCGCAAATCGCGGAAATCTTCCGCGGAAAGTTGGCGAAGGGAAACTTTTAATAACCCTTATTGCAGTGACCGATTACAGAGCCGCCGACCGGGTCAAAAGTACCGCCGTCGATCGCTCCGGATCGCCGATCTTTAACCGAGTGCCCGCACCGGTTGGCGAGTGACGAGGTAATGATCACCGCCGGCGGACCGCGATAAGTCCATGACGAAGTCGCGAGCTTTGGCGCTCTCCCGAAGATTCGAAGATTCGGCCACCTCATGGCTGACTGGCCAAGAGTCAAGAGCCGAGGGCCCCGTTCGCTCGGGACCAGTTTGCCACTTGGCTTCGGCTCGGGAGCTTTCGCTCTCTGGAGGCGCTCCGCTTATCGCCAGCAAATAACAAACAACAATCGCAGACTCAAGCATGACGTCGTGGAACTGGCGTAGTTGATGACGATGAGTCACTCGGCCGCGGAGCAAACAACCGATCGCCGATCGCTGGGATGGAGTTCCCCAGGCGAAAGGTGGATGGGGGTGGTGGTGCGGGGGCCTAAGGTCGTTTGGCGGCCAACGAAAATTCATTCATCGATTCCCCTCCCGTTCGGATTCGTTTTTCTCGCGTCATTTTTCTGGGAAACCGCGCATGAGTCGCTAGTTGTCTGTGGCCGAAGCCTACTCATGAGTAAATCGGGGTATCTCTCCGATATTTGGCAACAGGTCGCCCCGCAGAAAGCACACAGAGAGAAAAGAGACCTAAGAGTAGGGTTTTAATAACGAAAATATGTGATACGTGAATGAATATCGAAGGCATGTAAACAAATACTGAGAAAAGGTAAATATTTACTGGACTGACGACTCGATTTACAAATACCACCTATTGTTGTTTTGCTAAGTGGCATCTGTTACTTTTCCAGTAACTATTTTCAACAGTTCTATTTAGTATTCCCATTCAGTAACTATTTTAATATTTACGTAAATACGACTGCTCTTTTATCACCTATTTTTGGCTCCATCAACGGACGTGCAGAGATATCGCTCATTACGCGACGGCCTCCCATTTGGAGCATATCAGCTTGCAATTGCTTTTCGGTTGTTCGAGTTCCGCCGGCTTCCTGGAATTGTTTCTGATTTCATAGCTGAGGACGCTTTTGGCTAAGTGATTCATTCCGATCCGATTCGTTCGCTCTCCTTCTCTTTCCTTGTGGCGCCGGCAGATACGGCGATCCAAATCCATATCGCTCGAATCGTTTGTGTTTGTTTTGATGTGACGTCTGTTAGCCCAGAGAACCTTTTTATAGCGAAAGCTTTACTACAATATATCGTGTGTGCGGTTCATTCATAAACGCCGAGTGGGTCAAAGGGAGCTATGAGCAATCTGACGAAATACTCGCCGATAGATTACTCACTGTCTTCCATGGGGTTTGCTTAGGAACTTTGATCGCTGTTACGCTACCTTGCTAGTTGACTTAGAAAAGGGTGATTTCCACTAGACTGTTTAAAAAGCACATAGTCATTGTATTATATTATTTTGCTCTTGATTACTTGCTGTGCTGCCCACAAAGTTTCCATATCCCCTCATAAAGTTTTTCCATAATAAGCACAACGAAACTGTATGCTTTAATTTAATAATTTATCGTTGTTTTTAATCCCACGAGTAAGTTTTTTAATTACTCTTAAATCGAGAAAAAATTTCATAAAAATCAGAGTGCTGCCATAGGAAAGATCGAAAAATCTATATAGAAATAACGGAAATAAAATGATTACCTCGTTGTTTTTCATCAGACAATCATGATTTTTGGAACATTTAAATTAAATTTCATCAAAATCGGACGACTATATCATATAGCTGTCATATGAACAATATGGAATATGAATAGAAAAATCGTCATAGCTTTGATGTTGTTTAGCCTTTATGTATTTTGTTCGACATGTTTAATGACTGCAAGGGTATATAAGCTTCCTTTCTTGTTAATAATAAAGTTGATATAATAATTATTGGTTTAAAAGATTCATTAATTTCATTATTTATATTGTTTTTTAATATTAATAAAATAGAAGAAAATAATAATCAGCCGTGTCTGAGATTTTGAGCTTCAGAGAGGATCTTCGAATGGTTTTATCGAGAGTGTTATTGGTGCTCTGTGGTTTCAAGACGTAAGATGTTCTTTTTATGAGCCCTGCAAAACCTATTTACATTTCACTTAGCAAATGGGTTCTGGGCGGCCCGTGGGTTGAGTCACCTAGTGCAGCTCCTCGGTGATCTCCTCGTCATCGGCCTCGTCATCCTCACTGGTCGTCATGGCCGAGGTGCTGCTCATTCCGGTGGCGGCAGTGCCGCTCGTGGAGGCGGTCACCTGGCGACCGGAGTTCCAGATGAGGTCGAAATCCAGGTCGCACTCCTGGGCGATCCTCTGAACCGTGCCGCGGTCCACCAGTCCTGAGGCGCTCCACGAGTGGTCCTTCACGGCCAGCTCCTTCAGGGCGCGACCCGCCTCGGAATACTGCTTCGCGTAGACCAGGGACCGGATCAGCATGGACAGGATGTGGGCGTGGCGGATGGGCGGCAGCTCCGGCTTGACTGAAAAGGGAACCAGAGATAAAAACCTGGTGCTGGGCGCAAGAGGATTGAGCTACTCAGCATGCTGCGGCAGGTTCCGATGACCAGCTGGTGGTCGCCCTCGCGCAGCGCTTGTTGGACCTCCAGGATCGTCTTCACATCCGCCACCGTGCGCTGCAGATTGTTGTAGGCGTGCTGGGCGTGGCTGAGCTTCTCCAGGCACTTGGCCGCCTCCTGCATGGCGGTCAGGGCCTTGCCGTAGTCCTGGAACTCCTCGATCTCGATCTGGGCGCAGATGGCGTAGAAGTTGGCCAGCGAGTCGAAGGCCTGGCCCTTCGTGTAGAAGCTGACGATGTGCTTCAGCACCTGGGGATCCGCCTGCCAGTCCAGGGCCTGCAGGTAGTTGGCGGCCATGACGTACACCTCGCGCTGCCTGGACATGTTGGCGAAGAAGACGATCTTGTCGGTGTTGCCCGACTTGAGCAGACTCTTCATGGCCCGCATCTTGTCCCCGGCCTGGGTGAACTTCTTGGTGGCGCTGTGGTAGTCGCCCTGCTGCTGCAGCAGCTCGCCCAGCTGCACGAGGAGCCGCACCCGCGTGGCCTCCTCGAACTCGCCCTTCTCCGGGGTGAGCATCTCGGCGAGCTCCTCCGTCACGGGCACGCCCTTCTCCAGGCAGGTGCCCAGGGCCCTCTCCAGGTGCCTGGTCTTGGCCAGCAGCTGCACGGCCTTCTGGAACTGCTCGATGCTGCAGAAGAAGTCCGCGCAGCGGTGCACCAGCTCGGCGTCCGACTCCGGCACGAGGTCCGAGGCGATGATCTCGAGGATCTCCGGCTGCTGGCTCTCGAAGGCCATCTCCAGCGCCTTGTGCAGCATCCCGGCGCGGTGGTAGAGCTCCACGGCGTGCTTGAAGTTGCCGCACTCCTCGAAGTAGGCCGCTGCGATGGCCTTGTCCCGCTGCCGCGAGGAGCTGGCCACCGTCCAGAGCTCCTCCTGGAAGTCGTTCTCCTTGCAGATGCGGATCGCGTTGCTGAAGGTCTGGGCCCGCGTGAAGAACATGATGGCCTCCTGGAACTTGCCCACGTTCTCGTAGTGGCGCGCCAGGTGGTAGCAGGCCGCCCGGTCCCCCGACTGCCGGGCGATGGCGTCCGCCTTCGAGATCTTGCCCAAGTAGCAGAGGATCTTCACCTGCAACGGGGCAGAGTGTTACTACACTTCACAGGCTCACAGGTGCTGGCTCGGACTGTGACCACTTACCTGCGAGAACCAGTCCTCCGCCTTGTGGTAAACGGCCAGAGCGGCGTCCATGTCGCCGGAGCTCTCGATGTACTGGCCCCACCACTTGAGCAGCTTGGGGTCGCTGGTGGTCTGGATGTAGCGCTTCATGGCCGCCGGGTTCTCCAGCAGCAGCTGCGTGATGTGCTGCGCCGGGCTCTGCGTCTTCTCGAAGAACTCGAGGGCCCCCTTGAGGTCGCCCCTCTCCCGCAGCTCCTGCGCCTTCTGGTAGTAGGTGTGCTTCAGGTGGATCCTGTCCTCGCTCTCGGCCACCTGCAGCGCCTCGTCCAGGTGGCCGGTGGCCTGGAGCAGCTTGTTGAGCAGGTCGAAGCGCCTGCAGCGGCGGTACAGCTCCTTGGCCTCCTCGATCATGCCCAGTTCGGTGGCCAGTACGGCCACCTTAGCCTCTGTTTCCAGGTCGTCGTCCTCGATGGCCTGCCGGAGGGCGCGGACGGAGCGGGCCTGCTCCAGGTGACCCATGCACACCTTGGCCACGTCCAGGCGGTTCGTGTGCACGCACATCTTGGCCAGGTTGGTCCAAATCACCTTGGACTGGATGGAGCGGATGCTGCGGTAGGCCAGGTCCATGTTTCCCTCCGCCACGTAGAGGCTGAAGTTGAGGACTTGCTTCCTGGTCACGGGATCGCACTGCTGCAGGTCCACGAAGTCCTGGAGGGGCTGCTCCTCCACCGCGTTGATCTTCAGCCGGACCACGTTGGGCACACACAGATTTAGCAGCTGGGACCCCGGGCTCATCGCCTGGCTTTCGAGGACGTTGAGACACCCCTTCTCCGAGTAAAACAGAAGCAGCGTCTTCGCCTGGACAAAGTGGACTGGTTGGGGGGAGTTCTTCTGGGGCGCACTCTTCTGCACCATGGACTTGACCTCCATGGCCAGCAGTCGCGGCTCCTCCGCGTCCCAGAAGATCCGAACCGGCAGGCTGGAGGAGGAGCTCTCCTTCTTGGAGCTGGTTTCCTGCGAGTCGAGCAGGCCGTAATCAAATATGTTGTTCCGCTCGAAGTCCCAGCAAAAGAGGGCCGAGATGGGGGTGAAGCTGCTGCTGGCTATCACCATGGCCAGGTGGCTGCCCAGGCTGTTGCACTTCACCAGGATGAACTCCCCGAAGTCGTCGAATATGTCGTGGCCGGACTTGCTGGGGAAGAGCAGCTTGGGATCGTGCCGCGAGACGTCGTAGGCCTTCACGTAGCCGTTCATGGTGAACACCGACAGGTAGCAGCCACTCAGGTCCATGCCGATGATCTTCCCCTCGATGTCGCTGGCCTGGATGCGGTGCAGCACCACCCCGCCCACGGAGTAGACCATGATGTCGCTGCTCGCCAGGCAGAATATGTTCTGGTTGAACAGGCTCAGGGACAAGCACTCGGCGGGGAAGGTCTGGAGCAGCTTCACGCTCAGGGGAGTCGCCGTGGTGGCCGTCGGGGGCGAAGCTCCCTCCACCGCCTCCAGGATCTCATCGAACTCGTCCAGGCTCTTTTCCACCCTCTGCAGGCTGTAGGAGGAGATGCTCCTGCCGTTGCTCATCACCAGACTCAGCTCGTTCAGGGCCATGGCGGTCACCGCGAACTCGGACTGGACGGTCGTCTCCCGACCGCTGCAGTGCGTCAGCTGCACCGACTTGGCCGCCCGCTGGACCGCCCACAGGTCCCGGGTGTGGAAGGCCAGCAGGGGCTGCTCCTTCAGCATGAACACGTTGGACAGGCAGTTGACCAGCATGCACGGCTTGGACAGCTCGTTGAAGCCCCACTCGCAGCTCCGGATGGCTCCCCTCACGGAGGAAATGTTCGTCAGCTGCCAGGCGTCTTCGGGCGCGTTGACCAGCCGGCTCCCGCTCCGCTTCCAGGTGAAGAGGTTTCCCTGGGAGGTGCCCGCGCACAGAGTCTGGCCCGTGGCGCTGTAAGCCAGGCAGGTGAACACCTCTCCGTTCATCTGGCCGTACTTAGGCGTCTTGCGCGGCACGCTGCTGCTCTCGGTGCTGTCGTGGCTGAAGAACTGGTTCGACGAGGACATGGTGCCGTTGCTCAGGCTGGTCAGGGACGAGTTCAACTGGTTCCCGCTCGGGAGGTCCATTCTCAGCAGGTAATTGTCGCTCCGCTCGATGTCCCAAATGCGCACGAAGAGATCGCCTAAGGGGAATTCTATTATAGTGGAGCAGGATTAAGCTTAGCGATGCCCACCTGTAATGATGGCCAGGGAGTTGCCCGACCAGGCGATGGCTCCCTGTCTCCCTCCTCCCCGCCCGCTCATCTTCACGCGATCCAGTTCCGTGAGGATTCCCGTGGACTCGACCAAAAAGAGAGTGACTGTCAGGTCCTCCATCAGGCAAATAACAGCGTCCCTGTGGTTGAAAGAAGTGGTTTAGGTACAGGTTGGGTTCTCCAGGCCAGAATTACTTCTTGGGGTGCCACAGCATCTGAACGATCGGCGGCAGCGATCCGCACTTCATCACCTCGACGCAGGCGCCTCCCTGGTTGATGTAGTACACCACCCCGCCTTGAGTGCAGGCGTAGAAGCAGTGGTTGTCCCTCACCCCGGCGTGGGTCATGCTCCGCGCTGCGGTCCGCGGCCTCCAGTTGGTCAGGGTGTCCAGGGCGGTCTCGTCCCCGGCCACCGCCGCCTTCGCCAGACTGGCCATCTCCTCGCGCACCTCGCTCTCCACCGTCCGGCGGAAGCAGATGAGCAGCAGCACCTCGCGCAGGTCGTGGGAGAACATGGTCAGGAACTGGTACTGCCCGTCGCAGCGCCACCCGGTGACCAGGCCCATGGCGTCCGCCGTGACCATCCGCCCGCCCTGCTCGCTGAACTGCAGCAGCACGATGGCCGCCTTGTGGGGCGCGTTCACGCTGGCGAACTCCCTGTGTCCGGCGAACCACACGTGGATGTCCCCGTGCTCCCAGCCGCTGGCCAGGAGCGCCTTCTCCGGGTGCCAGCAGAGAGCGGTGGCCTGCGAGGTGGCGTGCACCGGATACGTTACATCTCGCTGCGGCTCACCCTTCAAAATGGAATTCGGTATCAATTTATTAATTTATTTAAATTGTAATCTTTTTATTTTCGATGGTTTACGGTGATAGGCAAATATTTACATAATACCCTTTTTGAGGGAGAGAAATATTCTTACAGTATCCGCAAATATGGTCACGGAACCGCCTCTTTCCGGGCTAAAAGAGGCCACTGCGAAGAGTGGTTCACTAGGATGCCAACTGCTGATGGTGCTGACCGCATCCGAGTCCAGGAACTCTATTTTCGTGTCAAAGTACAATGTCATCTCGCTAGTTTTCAACTGAAGGCAGCTGCATTTTTCCGGCAGGAACCAAAACACAAGGATATTTTCATTCCTTAGCAACGGTTGTCATAGTTGCTCAAAAATATCGGGTAGAGAGCCGGCAGCTATGGTGGTTCAGAGACTAAAAGAATGCAACCAATAAAGCCGCCCCATTTCACCATTTATTTGTTTGCCGACAAATTCGTTATTCGTATTCCTAATCATCTTATCAACAGAACCACAGATAAGAATGCATTTGCAATGGAGCTTATCTGCATTTTTAAGTTTTGTCCAGAAAACTTTGGGTTTCCCCTAAAATACAAAGTACAACAACGAACTGCTACAGTTTAAATTTGGGTACGCCAACGGTTTCTTGCACCCCTGGCACTCCACAAGGTATTTCTGGCACTTCTATAAATGTAAAAAGAAAAGATAAGTTGCGATAAACTTATGAATAAACTTATGAACAAAAATTGTCACTATTCAATATCGCAAGATTAATAAGATAATGGAATTTTTTGATAAGTATTTTTACTCCCCTCCACTCATGTGACCCACCCTACACACACATAATTAACTGTGTGTTTATTACAATTTGCTGAGATCCGCAAATAATACTCGACAAAGCCAAATAGCTAAATTTGGACATTCTCTTTGTCAAATACTTTTACAAATATGTAATTTTAACAAAAGAGTATGTTAATATTTATCAAAAAATCCTTGCATTTTTCACAATGATTTTCTGTTTAATACAAAAAAGTTTCTAGCTTGAAAAAATAGAGCTGTTCACCTCTGCAGCTCACCCACACCAGCAGCTGTCGCGTATTCGCCCCGTGTTCACGCAATACTCGCGCAATTAAATGAAATCAGCGGCAAACAAATCAGAGAAAACGGAACGTTCTCCGATACTGCGACTCATTTGCAGTGCGAACTCCGAAAATGGCTGATCGTCCGTGTGCTGGAAACATTCTCCGTATCGCCGGTGCCGTGATCCTGCCCAATCTGGGTGGGATCTACAATGGCCGGCTGACCCGGAAGCACCTGCAAAACTGGTACGCCAACCTGAAGTTCCCCTCCTTCAAGCCGCCCAACTGGGTGTTTGCCCCGATGTGGGTCTCCCTGTACGCCGGAATGGGCTACGGATCCTACCTGGTGTGGCGGGATGGCGGTGGATTCTCCGGGGAGGAGGCCCGCCTGCCCCTCATCGCCTACGGAACACAACTGGCTCTCAACTGGGCCTGGACGCCCATCTTCTTCGGGCAGCACAACATCAAGGGCGTGAGTATAGGTGATGTCACCATTACTAGGCGATATACCTAATCCACTTGATCCGCCAGGGGCTCATTGACATAGTCGCATTGACGGCCACCGCCGGAGCTTGTGGAGTGCTCTTCTACCGTGTCAATAAGGTCGCCGGATTGCTCTTTGTACCCTACCTAGCCTGGCTGGGATTCGCCACCGCCCTGAACTACTCCATCTGGAAGTTGAACCCGGAGGAGGAGCAGAAAGAGGAGAAGGCTTCCGGCAGTCACCCCAAGGCCAATTAGGCTAGGAAACGACATATTCAAAGAAGCTTGTAATTCCTTCATGAAAAATGTAAATTTTACCAGGGCTGGACTAGATGGATAAGATATCGATAAGTCATTTTCCAAAGTGAGCGGCAAATTCAAATTAAGTCACAACCGATCGAAGAATAGAAATCCCCAAAAGATTCATTGATAATAATTATGCAAATTGATCAAAGCCTTAAAGGTTTCCTGTATTACTATATAACTTTAGAATTTAAGAGTTTTGTCATTTTTGAATCTAATAAATGTATGAAAGTTTATGGGGTCTACACTAGTTCAATTTTTTTTTCTGCAACTTATTAACAAAATCTGACAAAAATAGGATTTCAAATTTGCAAAATCTTGAATGTTGTTCATTTTAGGATAACACCAAAAACATTAAGAGGTGTGCTACTTTGAAATCTGATAAATATTGTCTAGGTTTTGGTCACTTTTCTGGAACCCCTCGTAGCGTGATTTTTTTGTAAATTATAATTTTATTCAAAAATCTAATGGTCACAAGTTATCAAAAATCTGTTAGTGAGTTGGATGCAAAGAGAAAGTCGAAAAAGCGAAAAATCTGTGAAAATGCGCGGCAAGTTCGAAATGCAGGGGAGCCGATTAAGGAAGGGTTAGACGGAAGATCAATTAGGGCCTGCGGGAGCGGAAGGCGGGGGATTCGGAGGGGTTCCGGCCTTTGGCGAGTTGGCTTTCGGGGATCCGGCCGCCTTTGGCGAGGGCGTGGCCTTCGGGGAGTTCCCCGCCGGCTTCTGCTGCCCACCAGGAGGTCCTGTTTGCTTGGAAGGAGATGTCTTGGGGGCCGCTTTTCCCTGCTGCTGTTGATTTGGTTGACCTGGCTGAGCTGGTGCTTTCGGAGAAGCGGGTTTCCCTGCAGCCTGGGCGGGCTTTGGACCCACTGCTGGCTTGGCACCGGCACTCTGATTAGGATTGGCTTGCTTCTGCTGCTGGGGCTTGTTTCCCCCGGGCCCACCAGGTCCTCCTGGTGGTTGCTTCTGCGCCTGCTGCGACTTGTTGGCCGGCTGCTGCTGCTTGGGCTTCTGTCCCGCCTCCTGCTTCTTGGCATTCCCCTGGGGAGCCTGCTTCTGGGGCGGAGTAACTGCAGCGGGCGAGGGGGAGTCCCTACGGCGGGGGAGGGCGGGGTTACGGCCGCGGCAGATGGGGGCACGGATGTGGGAGTCGACGGAGGAGTGGAGGGGGCCAATGGGGAAGGCGCTTCAGCCGGAGTGGCGGTGGCCGGAGCCACAGGAGCCGGAGCGGAAGCTGGAGGCGTTTCTGGTTTGGTGGGAGGAGGCGTCTCCTTCTTGGGGGACCCCTTATCCTCTCCTGCTGGCTTTGGCGGCTCGGCTGGCTTCTCGGGAGCAACTGTAGCTTGTTCTTGGGGTTTGGGTGGAACCTGTGCTGTGGCAACTTCGGGAGCAGTAGTTTTGGCGACTTCCGGAGATGGAGCTTTATTAGTCTCGGGTGCAACTTTCGGAGTTTCTGCTGGTGGCCTGACCTGTTTGACAGGTTCGGCTGCAGTCTGAGGCAAAGTTTCCTCCTTGGGCTTATCCAGAGTGCTCTTGGGAGGAGAGGCCTGCTTGGGAGTACTCTTGGGAGGCGAGTCCTGTTTGGGAGCATTTTTTGGAGGCGATTCCTGTTTGGGAGCACTTTTCGGAGGCGATTCCTGTTTGGGAGCGCTCTTTGGAGGTGAATCCTGTTTGGGAGCACTTTTGGGTGGTTCAGCAGTGGCTACGGGTGCAATGGTTGGCTCCACCTTGGCTGGAGGAGGCGATTCTTTCTTCTGCTCCTCGATCTTAGGAGCGGGTGCTGCCTCCGCAGCGGGTTTCTCTGGAGGAGCTGCCTGCTTGGGCGGCTCAGAGGCCACGATCTGGGCTAGAGTTTGGACAGCAGGAGGAGTCGACGCCTTCGCTGGAGGTTCTGCCGGAGTTGGCTTTGGTGGTTCGGGTTTCAAATCAACCTTTTGTTCTGCCTGCTTAAGTGGCTCCACCTTCTGCTCTGTGGGTTTAGGTTGGATTTTCAGATCTGTTTGTTGTCCTGTTGCTTTTGGCTGTTCAACTTTCGGCTCATTTACCTTAGGCTGATCCTTTGGTTTTTCCACCGGTTTTTCAGTCTGCTTAGGTGGCTCTACTTTCTGCTCAGCGGGTTTGCTTTCTATTTTTTGTTGGGTTTCAGTAGGTTTGGGTTGCTCCACCTTTTGTTCTGCAGGCTTGGCTTCAATCTTCTGGTCAGCAGGCTTGGATTGTTCCTTCTTCTGTTCTGCCGGCGCTTTCGAAATATCCTGCTTGGAAGTTTCTGCAGCCTTTGTCTTTTCCTGTTTGGCCTGAGGAGCTTGTTGGCCTTTCTGTGCCTGATCCTTGTTTTTGTTCTGCTTGTCCTTGTTGGCCTGCTGATCGTTCTTCTTACCATCTTTACCCTGACCCTTCTTGTTGTCCTGCTTGGGCTTCTCATTCTGCTGCTGCTTTGGCTCCTTCTTGGGCTGCTGTTGCGTTTGCTTATCCTTTGGTTTACTCTCCACGTTCTCCTTTGCTGCCTGCTCCGTCTGCTTGGTGGCCTCCACCTTGGCCACCTCATCAAAGTCTCCGACTAGCAATGGTACATCGTCGTCCTCCTCGGCGGGAACGGGCCCTTCTCCACTGGAGGGAGCTCCCTTCTGGTTGTTCATGGCGTTGGCGTACATGCGCAGCTGGACGACCGTTTCCTGGCCCAGCTGGGGCAGGATGTCCGGCAGCATCTCGACCACCTTCCTGGTCTCGCCGTGCCCGGTGACCGCGAAGGTGTTCGCCGAGAGCGAGGCCTGCGCCTTGGGGTTGTTGAAGTGGATCACGGTCAGGTCGTCCTTGATTATGTTCACCTCCTCGATGCCCGGGATCGTGCTCACCGAGAGCTTCTTGAGGGAGCTCTGCAGCTTCTTGTCGTCGGTGGCCGCCGTCTGGTGCATCACCTTCTTCTTCCGGCGGGGCGTGCCCTTTCCGCCGATCCGAACCTGCGCCTGCAGGCGCTTCAGCTTCTCCACGTTCATGCCGTAAATCTGACCGGAAGAAAGGCTGTCAGCGAAAGGTGTATATTACATAAAGTGGCTGGGAACTCACCTCACTCACTGGCCGGCTGAAGACACACGATGTGCAACTCCACGGGCGAAATGACGAATGCAGCGGACGGGCCCACGATCCACCAGTGGAACCACCCGAATCCAACGCAGCGGCAGCGCTGCTTTTATTAATATCGTGCGGCCTGCTCTTTTTTTGCACATTTTTCAGTGCTTTTAGCAAGCGAATCGGGGAGAAAACAAGAAAAATGTCGCCCAGTGCTTAAAAATAGCTCCACATTTCCTCCACCAGCCGATGGCCGATGCTTTCGGTTCGCCTTCCCGTAGTTTAGTTTGTGCGAATTCTCGGCGTGAGGCTGCCCAAGCGGCTGTTGAACCGCAGCCGCCTCTCGGGATCCACTGGGAACGGGGATGGGTCTGATGGAGGGGCTAACATAGGACGAGTCCCGAAAATAGACGCGAACTTTTCTCACTTGCAGTTTCGCTCGCAGAATCCCTTTGCAATGTGGGATGCTTAACGCGAAAGAGAGAGTAGGAAGTATGCAAGTTTTTCCTCAGTTTAATTAACTCTTCAATGTTGCCACTGAATAATATAATTCACTTGAATTAACAACTGTAACAAAATATTGGTTTTGTACATTGAAATTTGATATAGAATGGGAAAACAAATTAATTAAAGTAAATGGGAGATCAGCGGCCGAGGAATTTTCTTTTGATAACTTTCTGCGGCTACAGCAATTCCTACACTTAATGTTTATTTTTTATTAAAACATCAATCAAAATGCAAAACTAAAAATGATATACCTTACATATCTTAAAATAACATATAAAAAGAAGAGTTGCAGACCAAAAAGGCAACATACAACTTATTTAATAATAAAAAACTAAGAAAGTACAATTACAGAAACCGTTATTAAATTTTAAAAATTTCTGTAACAGAAATTTAAACTTTTCCAAGTTAAAAGCCTGTTACCTTGATACGGTCACACTTTACGCAGCACCTGTAGATGAGCAGGCGTCTTGTTTTGATTTGTTTTGATTCGATTCCGATGTTGCTCAGGAGATGTTTCCTGTTTCCGTTTCCCGCCGTGCGACTGGTGCGTCGAACCCTACACCGTCAGCATGACCACATTGTGCTCCACCCGGATATCCGGCAGGCTCTTCAGCTTCAGAAGCCGGTGGTGGCCCTGGAATCCACAATAATTACGCACGGGATGCCGATGCCGGAAAACGTGCTCACGGCGCTCGCGGTTGAAGAGCAGGTGCGCTTGCACGGGGCTGTTCCAGCCACCATTGGGATCCTGGACGGGCGCATAAAGGTGGGTCTGACACGTGAGGAACTCACTACGCTGGCGAAGAAGCCCAGGGAGCAGGTGATCAAATGCTCCCGGAGAGATCTGCCGTTCGTGGTATCCAGAAAACAGAGCGGCGGAACCACTGTGGCTGCCACCATGCTTATCGCCCACCAAGTCGGCATCCGGGTGTTCGCCACCGGGGGAATTGGGGGGTCCACCGCGATGGCCACGAGTCGCTTGACGTATCCGCCGATCTCACCGAGCTGGGGCGCACTCCGGTGGCCGTCGTTTGTAGCGGCGTTAAGTCCATCCTAGACATTCCCCGTACGCTGGAGTACTTGGAGACCCAGGGCGTGTGCGTGGCCACCTTTGACAGCCCCGGTGGCGTCTTTCCTGACTTCTATACGTGTGATAGCGGGTGCAAGGTTTCCTATAACTTGAAGAATGCACAAGAGGCGGCGGAACTTCTGCGATCCTGGCATGAGCTTAAAATGGAGTCTGGGCTTGTTATTGGGGTTCCCATTCCGAAAGAGTTTGCTGCGGATAAATCGAAAATTGAAAAGGCAATCATCGCGGCAACTGCCCAAGCCAAGGAGGAAGGAATTTCCGGCAAGGATGTGACTCCGTTCCTGCTCGCTTCAATAGCCAATATCACCGAAGGAAGGAGCCTTCAGTCCAACATAGCTCTAATCAAAAACAATGCCAAAGTGGCGGCGCAAATTGCCGCTTCGCTCTGCGAGGTCTCTACGAGTGTTGAGAGCCCAGGACAAAAAACTTTGGATAGGAAACCCCTGGTGGTTGGAGCATCCATCCTGGACCTCTCCTTTAAAGTAGACGACGAGAGTCGGGACATGAAGCTCGATGGAGCCACATACTCTGCAGTGGCCAAGCAAGCAGCTGGTGGAGTCGGTCGCAATATCGCCGAAGGCATTTACAAGTTGTTTGGGGATGTGAACCTGATATCCGCGGTGGGCAATGACCAGATGGGGCAGGCGCTGCTCCAGATGATGCCGAAGGCTCTGCACCGAGGTCTGTTCCTGGCGGACAGCCATAACACCTCACTTTGCTCTGTAATCTTCGATAAGTTTGGTGACTGTAAACTGATCCTGGGCAACATGGAAATCCACCAGAGCATCACACCCGAAACCCTTCAGGCCCACCATCAGCTCTTCCGGGAAGCCCCGCTCATCGTTATGGACAGCAACATTTCGGAGCAGGCGATGGCAAGCATTCTGCAGCAAGCGCAGATAAATAAGATTCCTGTCTTCTTCGAACCTACGGACATGTTCATAGCCGGGAAGCCATTTAAGTTGCTCCCGGAGCTGACAAAGAATATTAGGCTGATAAAACCGAATCTCCAAGAGCTGAAGACCATTACGGAGGCTATCACCGGGGAACCTGTCAAATGGAGTCCGGACACCAAGCTGCCCCAAGCGGAACTTCTGCAACAGGCGAAGTCCATGATCAGAAATATCGACTGCCACTTCAACTGCATCATAGCCACGCTTGGTGATCACGGGGTACTCCTAAGCTACCGAGGGGATGCGGAAAACGACGCCAGGCTGCTCCTGGACGTGAACAAGACAACGACGCCTCACAGAACGCGGTTCTATGCCGCGCCCATAGTTCACAACATAGTTAATGTTTCGGGGGCGGGCGATAGCTTATGTGCGGGGTTCATCACTGCCCTGCTGCGGGGACGCAACCTGGATGAGTGTGTGGCGGCCGGTTTTGTGGCCGCGGAGAAGGCTCTGCAATCCGAGTCCGCTGTGCCCGCCTCCTACTTTTCGGGTTCTGAATCCTTCGAAGTTCGTTACAAGCAGGCAGTGAAGATCCTCCAACAGCAAAGCATTTAGTTGATAATTGTGTGACCAAGCAAATAACGAAGGCATTTACTCTGGACCTTTTCTTTATTCCTAAATGTTTTCCTAATATGTAAATACAAAGAAAGTGTTTAGTAGGCCCATCTGGAAGATAAAATAAATCAATTAAAATTGTTTAAGAAGTTCTCTTTTTCTCCAACTTACAGCTTTATGACTTTGTCCTTTCCGCCAGAAGCAACTCGAGAGCCGTCAGGCGCCCAGTCCACTCCAAAGACTTCGTCTGCGTGCCCTGGCAGCTCCTGCGCCAGCTTCTTGGTTTGAACACTCCAAACTAAAAACAAAAAAGGGCACATTTGTTATCCTTGCAAGAAAACGCAAAACTCTGTGTTTACCCTTGAGGGTTGAATCCTTGCTGCCGGAAACGATCAGGCGGGAGTCCGCCGACCAGGCCAGCGTGTAAACCGCCTGCACATGACCCCGGAAGGTTGCCATGTACTGGCCGTCGTGTGCTCGCCACAGACGCACCGATTTATCAAAGGAAGCTGACGCTATCAGCTTCACATCCGGGGAATATTTCACATCGTTGACCACGTTCTGGTGCCCGGTCATGCGCTCCACGCATTTGTTTTGGTTGTTGCGCCACAGATAGAGTGTGTTGTCATCTGAGCAGGAGACCAGGGACTCCACCTCGTCAGGGCAGACGGCCTGATAGCGCTTCAGGGCAGACTCCTTGAGTTCCTCAGCTGTATAAAAAATTGGGTTTAGGAGGGTTTTACGATCCGCAGCAAAGTGGAAAATCAATTCTTACTGCTCAGACTAAGATGACTCTTGGAACGATCCTTGACCGGATTGAACGGACCCGTGCGTAGCACGTAGTCTGTGCTAAGCGCGATGTTGTTCACCCAGTGGGCATGGCCAGAGAACGTGCGACACAAGATGCCATCGGCAGCTCGCCACATCTTAACTGTGCGGTCCTTGGATGAGGTGTAAATAAGACCAGATCCTCCCCAGCGCACGGCTGTCACCGCGTTTGTGTGTCCAGCAATGTTCATTAAGCACTGACCCAGTTTAACGTCCCAGATCCTGCAGTCGCCGTCTCCACTGGCGGAAGCAAGCTTCCTGCATTCGGGATCGCGATGGTACGGTTCCCAAGCGAGGCAATTAATGTGCTTTTTGTGCCCGCTAAGGGGACGACCCTTCTGCTGCCCCGTCTCCGGATCCCAGATGATTATGGAGCCTGCCTTGCAACCGCTGGCCAAGCGCTTACCATCCGGAGCCCAAGCCACACACAAAACCCACTGCTTGTGGCCCGTGCAGGTGAAGTGAGGCGTTTCTGTGTTCAGATCCCACAGCCTCACCGTGGTGTCACCACTTCCACTGGCGAGATGAGCTCCGTCCGGACTGAAATTTAGCGAAACCACAGCCTCTGCGTGACCGGGCATGGAACTAGTGCATCTTGTTACCGGACGCACTTTGAAGACAGCCTGTGGCTGGTACACGATGTCGATTACGTTCTCTGTGTCCACCGACGCCAAATCCAGGGTTTCCTCCAGGCTTTTCTTAATCTCATCCTCGCCAACGAAGAACAGGTACGGAGTTGTCTCCTCGTTCTTCAACAGAGCATTGCAGATCAGACCAAGTTGCTGAGTTGTTATTCCTGCTGGCAGGTCGATGGGCGGCCCCGCCTCCTCGCCCGTGTCCGATATGAGACGCGCCTGTATCGTGTGGGGCGCGACAAGCGGCTCGGAGTCTGTTTCCTCTTGCATTTTTTGTTTTTTGGCTAACATTTCGGCAGCAGCGTGGTGTTGAAGATGTAAGAAAAACAAAAAACATAAACACGTGCCTAGAGACGACACGGCTAGCCATAAATCGAGATTTTGCCTCGATAGAAAATAATGGCAAATGTTTACAAGTGCGATGAACGGTAAAATCAGCTTAAAAAAATTAAAATATGCAAATGATGTGTTTTTTCTCCGTTGCCGAAAATTTATTTTTTTAATTTACCAAAATAACCTACCGCGATTTAGAAAACGCTTGAACTCGGATGGGAACTGTTATTGGCAATCCTAAATATGCAGAACAGAATAGTTTGTGAGCAATTTAGTAATTTTATATATAAATACATATATATATATAATTTTTTATATTATTTTATTGCAGTTAAAATAGCTTACAAAACTAAGGCTAACTTAAGAGAGTTGCAATACGAGCTGCTGAGGCCATCGACTGTCTGAACTTATGTTATGTGATATTTACAATAATAAACAATTTGCAATTACACTTTTAGAATTTATTTGTTTATTTATATTAAGGTATTATGTGTTGTTATACCATTTGGTTATTTTTAGGAATTCAATTATTATTTTTATATTCTCGCTATTGCGGTACATAAGGTAAGGATGTGATTGGAATAGGATTGACACGTCAGACAGTTTCGTAAGGTATTAGTGTCGATTTAATATTTGTGGGTGAGGTTTTTGTGACCCAATCGCAATCGGCTAAATTTAATTTGGTCGAATCTTGGGATTTGTTAATTTTTATTATATATCACACAAAAAATCTAGCTATATAAAACCATTTCGATAACAGCTTCTGGTGCCCCTACTCTTAAGATATCGCTTAAGGTCCATCTCTAACGTCCAAAGATTTTTCATGTACGCGTCTTGGTAAAATTTCATAAAAATGGAAAATATTCCACGAACACATGAAGGTAAGTGAAATAATCGACTGCGATAAACGTCCACCACACTCAGGAACATCGGAACAACAATTTAAACCATTGGAAACATCTGCACACTCTAGTTTGGAGCTACCGGTTTTCCTGGCTGGTGGTCCCGAATGATAATCTATTAACTTTACCGATTTTCGCCCACAGACATTGAGGCGCAGATCAGCGTGATCCAGGAAAAGAAAACAGAGCTGGCGAAGACCACCGCAGCGGCTGCGGGAGTCGGTTTGCTGGACAGCGGAGGGTTCTTTGACACCGACTTGTACGACGATGAAGCTGCGAAGGGAAAAGGTCGCTACGAGGGGTACAACACCTCCATTGCGGCCAACGACGCCGAGGAGGCGGATGAGGACGAGGACGACGGCTTTCCGGTGCCCCAGAAACGCACCACATATACGGCGCCCACCTCCGTTTTGAAGGACGTGACCCAAGGCAAAGAGGATGTGGACCCCATGGCAGATCGCAGGCGTCCTACGATTGCAGATCGTGAGGACGAGTACCGGCAGAAACGGCGCCGCATCATAATCTCCCCAGAACGAGCGGATCCTTTTGCCGACGGCGGCAAGACCCCAGATGTGGGCTCGCGCACCTACACGGACATCATGCGGGAGCAGATGCTGAAGGGCGAGGAAACCGAGCTACGTCGAAGGATTCTGGAGAAAACAAAGGAAGGAACTTTGGTAAAGACCGCTACCTCGTCGTCGTCAACAAACGGGGAATCAGCTGCTCCTAAGGACGGCGGCAGGAAGCGTGGGAGATGGGATCAGACGGTCAGCGACAGTTTTATCCCGGCCAAAGTGGCGACACCAAGTAGTGCCGCTACGCCCACTTGGGAGGATGTGAGTATTGAAGGCCAATAATTAATGGGCATAATTAATAATTAAAAAATATTAATTTAAATTCAATAAATTGAAAATGATAACAAATTTATTTTCTGTATTTGACACTTCAGCTATCTTTAATCTTTTATTAAATTGATTAGAACATTTTTAGGACTTTTAATAATTCCATTAATTTATTGATTAATACCTTCTCGTTATAACATTTTTTTAAAATCTATTTTATTTTCATTCCAATTGACTTTTGCAGAAAACTCCCGGTGACCATCGTTGGGATGAGACTCCAGGACACAAAGGTAGCGAGACACCAGGAGCCACTCCAGGACTGGGAACCCGGATCTGGGACGCCACACCGGCTCACGCCATGACTCCTGGTCACGAGACACCCGGACACGAAAAGTCCGCCCGGAGGAACCGCTGGGATGAGACACCAAAGACAGAGCGCGAGACTCCCGGACACAGCGGCTGGGCGGAGACCCCGAAGCCAGATCGCACAGGTAGCGGCGCCGGAGAGAGCATATCGATCGAGTCGACACCTGGAGCCTCCAAACGACGCTCCCGCTGGGACGAAACCCCCTCGAATGCAACGCCCGCTATTACGCCCACAAATGCGAATGCCATGACCCCTAATATGACTCCCAGCATGACGCCACATGCCACTCCGGGTCATGCTACGCCAATGCTGACGCCAGGAGGAAGCACTCCTATCGGAGTCAAGGCAATGGCCATGGCCACGCCGTCAGCAGGAGCTCTGGCCGCCATGACTCCTGAGCAACTGCAGGCCTATCGATGGGAAAAGGAGATCGACGAGAGGAATAGGCCCTACACCGACGACGAGTTGGACCAAATCTTTCCCCCTGGCTACAAAATCCTACCACCACCAGCAGGATACGTCCCACTTCGCACTCCGGGCAGAAAGCTAATGGCCACACCAACACCAATTGCGGGAACTCCAGCCGGTTTCTTCATCCAAGTAGAGGACAAAAATGCTAAGTTCATGGATAACCAACCAAAAGGACAGAATCTGCCGTTCATGAAACCCGAGGACGCGCAATATTTCGACAAACTGCTGGTCGACGTCAATGAGGATGCTTTGTCGCCCGAGGAACTGAAGGAGCGCAAGATTATGAAGCTTCTGCTGACCATTAAGAACGGCTCGCCGCCTATGAGAAAGTCGGCCTTAAGGCAGATTACGGATAAGGCCCGAGAATTCGGAGCAGGTCCTTTGTTCAACCAAATTCTTCCCTTGCTTATGTCGCCCACTTTAGAGGATCAGGAGCGACATTTGTTGGTAAAGGTTATCGATCGCGTTCTGTATAAACTAGACGATTTGGTGCGACCCTATGTGCACAAGATCTTGGTGGTCATAGAACCACTCCTGATTGACGAAGATCACTATGCCCGCATAGAAGGCAGAGAAATCATTTCAAATCTGGCCAAGGCTGCTGGCTTAGCCACAATGATCTCCACCATGCGACCGGATATTGACAACATCGATGAGTACGTGCGAAACACCACGGCAAGAGCCTTTGCCGTGGTGGCTTCGGCCTTGGGTATTCCATCACTACTGCCCTTTTTAAAGGCCGTGTGCAAGTCAAAGAAATCCTGGCAGGCGCGACACACAGGCATAAAGATTGTACAGCAGATAGCTATCCTAATGGGTTGTGCTATATTGCCACATCTCAAAGCGCTGGTGGAGATCATCGAGCACGGATTGGTGGACGAGCAGCAAAAGGTGCGCACAATTACAGCTTTGGCTATTGCCGCCCTGGCAGAAGCAGCCACTCCATACGGAATTGAGTCCTTCGATTCCGTTCTTAAGCCCCTTTGGAAGGGTATTCGCACCCATCGAGGCAAAGGTCTGGCCGCCTTTTTGAAGGCTATTGGCTACTTGATTCCCCTGATGGATGCCGAGTACGCCAACTACTACACCCGTGAGGTAATGTTAATTCTCATTCGTGAGTTCCAGTCCCCGGACGAAGAAATGAAGAAGATCGTCCTGAAGGTGGTGAAGCAATGTTGCGCCACGGATGGTGTGGAACCGCAGTACATCAAAGAGGAGATCCTTCCGCACTTCTTTAAGTTCTTCTGGAATCACCGAATGGCTCTGGACAGACGCAACTACCGCCAGCTGGTCGACACCACAGTGGAGATCGCCAACAAGGTGGGCGCCTCTGAGATCATCAATCGTGTGGTTGACGACCTAAAGGATGAAAATGAACAGTACAGGAAAATGGTGATGGAGACGGTGGAGAAGATCATGGGCAATCTGGGAGCAGCCGACATCGATTCCCGCTTGGAGGAGCAGCTTATCGATGGTATTTTGTATGCATTCCAGGAGCAGACCACTGAGGACGTGGTCATGCTGAACGGCTTCGGTACCATCGTGAACCAACTGGGCAAGCGAGTTAAGCCCTACTTGCCACAAATTTGCGGAACGATTCTCTGGCGACTGAACAACAAATCCGCGAAAGTCCGTCAACAGGCTGCGGATCTGATCTCCAGGATAGCGGTGGTGATGAAAACCTGCCAGGAGGAGAAGCTCATGGGACATCTGGGCGTTGTGCTATACGAATACTTGGGTGAGGAGTACCCGGAGGTGTTAGGTAGTATTCTGGGCGCCCTGAAGGCCATCGTGAACGTAATTGGCATGACCAAGATGACGCCGCCCATAAAGGACTTACTTCCCCGTCTCACACCCATCCTGAAGAATCGACACGAGAAAGTGCAAGAGAACTGCATTGACCTGGTGGGTCGCATCGCAGATCGGGGACCAGAGTATGTGTCTGCTCGCGAGTGGATGCGCATCTGCTTTGAGCTTCTGGAGCTGCTTAAGGCCCACAAGAAGGCTATCCGGAGAGCCACTGTTAACACCTTTGGGTATATAGCCAAAGCCATCGGTCCCCATGACGTGCTGGCCACTCTGCTGAATAATCTTAAGGTGCAGGAGCGTCAGAACCGCGTGTGCACCACGGTGGCCATTGCCATCGTTGCCGAGTCATGTCGTCCTTTCACCGTGCTCCCCGCTTTGATGAACGAGTACCGAGTTCCCGAGCTGAACGTGCAGAATGGAGTTCTGAAGTCGCTTTCCTTCCTTTTCGAATACATCGGAGAAATGGGCAAGGACTACATATATGCTGTCTGCCCACTCCTGGAAGATGCTCTTATGGACCGGGATCTGGTCCACAGACAAACCGCCTGCTCCGCCATCAAGCACATGTCCTTAGGCGTTTACGGGTTTGGCTGCGAGGATGCTTTGACGCATCTACTCAATTACGTGTGGCCCAACATCTTTGAGACCTCCCCTCATCTTGTGCAAGCCTTTATGGACTCTGTAGATGGATTGAGGGTGTCTCTTGGGCCCATTAAGATCCTGCAGTACACGCTCCAGGGACTTTTCCACCCAGCTCGCAAGGTACGGGATGTCTACTGGAAGATCTACAACTCGCTGTACATTGGAGGTCAGGATGCACTGATTGCCGGCTACCCGCGGATTACCAACGATCCGAAAAATCAGTACGAACGATACGAACTGGACTACACACTCTAAGTTTTAACAGCTAATAGGATTCTCTAAGATATAAATATATAAATAAAACAATACCAAACAATGGTTTTCATTTAAATAAATATTTTTAAATTATGTTTTAGATCATACCAGACGTATTTCTCGTTATGCTTTAAAACGCGTGTAAATAATTATCTGTAACTAGATTAGATAGTTGATTGTTTAAAGTTATTATTTACTCTTCTTACGAAGTACTTGAACAGATAATGCAAAGACGAATCACCCATGTTTACATTCTGTACTCAATAGAACACCCTAGGAATATAGAGATGAGTAATAATTGCCTTTAATCCACGACGCACAAAAATGAATACGCAACTTGTAAAAACCGGGTTTTATTCTACGTTTAAAGTAGCTTCCAACAACAGGTGGGCAGCTACTGTGGACTAATCTTTTGGCTTAGGCGATAATACAAAAGTATCTCATTGCAATGAGTATGGAACATCTTCATCTACTATATTTTTGAGTGGTATTGGTCCCGTTTTATCATCGGTGGAGTATTGAGTGGACAACTTCTATGAGACTGTTCAGGCCGAACATGTAGTTCTCATCAGGCAAGGCCTGTTCCGCTGGGTAAACGTGAGCAAAGTCAATCATTCTGACCCGAACCCAATCGGAAGGGGCATCATCGTTAAGGTGGTGTCCATTGAGCAGCGGTTGGCTGTTCGGGCGATTATCCAATCTCGAGTAATCGTAGCAGATGAGCAAAGAGCTGGCATAGAAATGCAACAGGCGCTGGCTCTGGAACCAGGATAGGATCTCCCGCAGCTGACGGAGAACCTCGTTAAGCAACAGCTCAGTTCCCGCTCGCCTGGTCTTGGAATCACTTGTGCTAGCATTGAAAAACAAGGCCATGGTCTGCTTGAATCCCTCCACATTCAAGCTCTTTCCGTAGTCCTTGCCGTATCGCAGGGTTGTAGTTTTTTTGAGTGCTCGTCCTCCGGAAGATACACTTGGAATCCCGGCAAGCAGAGGCCTAGCTTCTGCTTGCACATTACGTACTTTGCCTCCTCCAGCTTCCGCTTGTTGGGCGAAGACTTTGGGTCCCAGGTTCGTTTACCCATCTTCACGTCCATGACGCACGGCTGCCGCATCCCCCGCGTTAAGTCTTCCAGGCGGAGGAATGTGCGTTCACGCTGATTCACAACCAGTTTTAAGGGGCCGTAAAATCGGGGGACGTGACCGCGGAGCAGGGCAAGGTCATTATCACCTGAAGCACCTGCCGCTGCGAGTGATTCATAAAAGCGCAGCTCCCGCTCTCCGCACTCCGGCTTTCCCAGGGGTTTTAGCACGCATCCCGCCGTGGGGTCTTGCAGGAGACCCACTGCCTCCGCGTTGGTTTCCTCAAATGTGTGGCCAGCCACCTGTGTCTTCAGTTGGCGGAATCCCTCGGGCAGCGCCGGCTGGCTTCTGGGGGGTGGCAACTCTTGCTCCACATCCTGCTCGCTCTTGGCCATAAGTCCTGTGCGTTGCGGTGTAGTCTCTTGTCCAGGAGCAGCACCAGCGGCGGCGGCGATCAGAATGCCTTGGAAGTCTCGCGCAGAAAAAGTTGCGCGCATTAAGTGCTGAATCAGTGATGCCAGGCCGGCTCTCAGCCCGCCAGAACTAGCGTCTTTGCAGGGTTAGCTGGCTGTAGCGGGCATTGATTCTATACAAATCTTGCTCTTTTTGCTTGAAGTTTTATTTCTTAACAGCCTGAGGTAATAATTTTCCTTAAAGTTCTTTAAAATGTTCTTTTTGCTGGTTTTAATAACTTGCATCATAAGGTTACTGAGCGCCACAAGTGGCAGCACTACGTACAGCTCAGTGCTGCAAAGGCCCATTAAAATAGTGTTGTAAAACGCACGCGTTCTTCTAATTTGTTGCTGATGTTTTGGGAGTGGTTTTGTTTGTCAATTTAACGCGTCTATTTACCTTAAGATTATCTGCTATCTACCGTCCCGGATTACTGACGATACCACAGATGAAACCCTGGCAGATAGCGCTGGTGGCTGTGGCCGCCGTTTACTTGTGTTCGCAAGGTAAGTTTTAAGTTTTGAAGCCCGACTTTGTGCCACACCTAAATTAATGTTGTTTCGAACTTTTGCTGTTATTTAAATTTCCCAGTAAGCTTTGTCGCCGGATTGGAGTGTTATGTGTGCTCGAACCAGACGGGCAATACGGAAAAGTGCCTGAACACCATCAAGACCTGCGAGTCCTTCGAAGACACCTGTGGTACCGAAATCCGCTGGGGATCCCAGCCTTATTTCTCGGAGGGAGCTCTAAAGCAGTATTACGTGTCGAAGAGATGCATGACCAAGGACCAGTGCCAGTCCAAGAGAAAGAGATACATGCAGCTCTACTGCACCCACATCTGGTACGAGGACTGGGCATGCAACGAGTGCTGCCAGGGAGATCGGTGCAACTACTTCGTGATTGTGGGTACAAGCAGCTTTCGATGGGATCACTAACTTATCTGCTCCTATTTCAGAGTGCTGCTCCATCAAGTCGAGGTTATGGCGTCGGAGTGACCCTGGGGATCACCCTTCTGAGTCTTGGAACTTGGCTCATTTTACGCTCTTAGCCAATAAAGTTAACCTACGCACATTCCGGTTACTGTAATATTTCAAAAAGCCGTCCATAAGCTAAGTTTATAAACCGTCCATTTCTGAAGATCACAAGTGCCTTGACTTCAATTACTTGATTGACGCCTTTTAGAGTAGACTTTCCTCTCGAATACTTTACCAATTTTAGATTTCTTATAGAAGACTTTACACATTTTAAAGCAAATTTTAGATACGCCGTCTGTTTCGTAGCATTAAGAGAAATTCAAATTGTGTTACTTACACAGTTCACAAAAAAACAGGGTTTTCACTTGTTCAGCTCGTCTTACCCGTATATACCATGTCAGTGCCTAATTAAGAACCGAAATATGCCTTATTCATGTTTTATACAAATGACTATTCTTTCAAGTTGAATGTCCTGTGCAATAAATCCCCTTTGACGTCTTTTTGGCGCTTTAATATATAAATATTACACACTTACACATCAAAAGTACTTCACATCCTTTTCAATCACTTTGCGCAGAAGCAGCCTGCAGTTACGGTGACGGTTTTAAACTGCCAGGTCTGATGTTGATCCTTGTTCATCCAGGAGTTGGGATGATCAGGCTGAAATCCCTGCGCGAGGACCTTCACCTTGTATTCCAATGGCCGGCAATTGGATCCACGGGAGCACTTGGCCAGATCCCTTCCAGAACGAGATTCGCAAACGGCATTCATCAGAAAGCGTGGAAAGTGCATGCTGCCCAGATCCAGGAGCTCGTTCTGATGAATGGAAGTAAAGCTATGAACATCCATTGGAGCTTGTGGTGGCGCAACAAACCGTAACTTTGCAATCGCAGCCGGCAGAGTGGACATCGTTGCGTTTGGTGGTCAGCAGATCCTCGTAGAAATCGTTGTAGTACATGGGCGGCAGCTGATGGGGCATCGCCATCGCAGAGTCAGTGGGGCGCGGCGTACTGGCGCCGAAGCCGAAAAGGGCACTAAGCATCTTGGAAGTGCTGCCTTCCGACTGCTGCTCCTCCGCCTGCTGGTCCAGGCATTGTGGCTCGCAGCTTCTTACTCCCACCATTTCATCGAAGTCTACATCACTGGAGTACACACTGGCGTATCCTTTGCTTGCCACGCTGAGCAGAGCCAGCGCCGTTATGGAAATGGCCAACTTTGAAAGGAGAAAGGTTACTTATCCGGTTCTTATTTTCTGTTGTCCAGCTTTTCCATCAATTTCCGCTCGGGTTTTAAATGCTTCAGATCCCTCACAGCCGAGACTTACCCACGGCATCCTGCTCGATCTGCAGCTGTCCAGCGGTGAACTCCTTCTGCGGCTCTGGCCAAGGAGCCTCCGCGCTTTTATACTCAGCCAGGACAAAGGCCCGTACTCGGATTACCTTTTGTGGAAGAGATGTGTGGAGAGCAGCAGCATCCATTACGGTCCGTCACCTGGACAGGATGGAACAATGGGTTCGGCAGTTGACACTGCAACAATGGCAAGCCTCGCCAGGCTCAAGTGGCCGGCTGATGGGGTTGAGTCCCTCGGCTATTTATACTTTATTGCGGCTTTCAATGGGGGAAATGGCTTTAAGGCCTCAAGTGCCGGCAGAGGTGGAGAGTTTCGGGGCTCGGACTGGCCGAAGGAAGCCCACTGACCCAGACATGTGTACACAGGCAAAGGGCAATCTGATCCCCTCCCATCGATGACGGTGGTCAGGGTGGGTTTTGGATTCCGAAGCAGCTCCGAAAATTTCAGCTGTAGCATACTTTTGCGTGAGAGGGCTTGGTGTGCATTTCCGATTGGATTTTTATTTTCCGGAATTCCCTTTTCCTTCTTGCTGAACAGGAAGTCATTTAGGGATTAGCGATTGCTGAGGGATTTTGCATATACAAAATATTTAAATAAAGAAAGGAGTCAAACAATTGTTTCACTTGCTAAAGAGCATCCATGGAAAATTAATCTTGAGAGTCTAACTTGGCTCAAATGGCCTCCTTATATATATTGTATGCTTGAAAACTAAGCCCAAAAGCTAAGCTTAAGTTTTTGACTTACTCCCCATACTCATCCTCGATGAATTCCGCTCCTGCCGCGAAACTATGAGCTCACTGCGTCTCCCATTTTGGCCAGCTCGGGTCAGGTGCAGCGCCTCTGGCATAACGACAGCGTCCGGCTAGAACGACTGCCCAAGTGGCTAGACCGGGTCAGACCTTTGCAGAACCACTGAGAGTACAGTGCAGACCCATACTCGTAGGGAGCCCGCGAGTGTGAAAGGTACAGTGGGCTCTTCTACGGCGACTTCTACGGCTTCCTCGACGGGCAGCACGCACTGCCACTGTCCGCTGTGGAAGTCCAAATCCTCCTCAGTCGCATTCGCGTCGTCGAGGCAAGAGCGTTGCCGTGCCACACAGTTGGAGATGCACAGCCGGAAAATCTGACCCCACCGCCGTCGAACTGATACAGTCGAGAGTAAGAAGTCGCGAGTCGGAGGAGATGCAGCTTCCCCTGGTGTCGGATTTGTGCTGAGCTCTGCAGGTGCCATCCCGGAGAGTCTTTATCCGCTGTTGTTGTACAGTTTTTCCGCCGTGGAATTCGTCGAAGCGGAAAAGCGAGAAGAAGCAGCAGTGCGAAGCCCCCAAAGTGTCGACGAAAATCGTTAAAAAATAGAAAAACACTCGGCGACTATGTCACGACGCGCTTGAAGACCCCATCCGCGCCGAGGGAGCCATTGAGATTGGGCAGATCCACATCCACAGCACAGCAGGCACTGCTTCACTAACCACTCGATTCCAGACCCTGCACCCACTCCAAACACTCAGGATTCGCATGGACAAAGGCACAATGAAGCGCAAGCAGAGGAGATACAGGTACGGATCAGCGAAATCCCTAAGCGAGATATAGTTTTTCCGTTTGTTAATATTCGATATTCCACCACCTTCCCCGCTCAGAACCACATTCAACACCCTCCAGCTGCAGGAGCTGGAGAGGGCCTTCCAGCGCACCCACTATCCGGACGTGTTCTTCCGGGAGGAGCTGGCAGTTCGCATCGATCTGACGGAGGCCCGGGTGCAGGTGTGGTTCCAGAACCGGCGGGCCAAGTGGCGTAAGCAGGAGAAGATCGGAGGCATCGGCGGGGAGTTCAAGGAGGGCGCGCTGGATCTCGATGTGACCTACGACGACAGCGCTGTGTTGGGTCAACTGGACAGTGCGCTAGGTGGGAATCGAAACCATTTCACACCCTGCACTTTCAACAATGACAGCGATGCATCTTTTCCCAAATCCTCTCCAGGTGGCGGGGGTACCCTGCTGCCGGATACCCCACCGCAGTCCTCCAACTCCCTGGACAACGAACTTAAGGCTTCCTACGGCACAGGAGCCCTGTCGCCCTCCCGACTTTCGCCGAACATTTTTCTGAACCTCAACATCGACCACCTGGGACTGGACAGAGGAGGCAGCGGTCTCTCCATGGAGTGGTCCACCTATCCACCTCAAGCGCCAGCGCAGACACAACCGCAGATGGACCCGGACAACCAACTGCATCCGCAGCACCCGCCTCAACAGCTTCAAAGCCAGCCGAGCCTCCAGGAGAACCCCAATCCCCACCAGCAGCAGCAGCAGCAGAATCCCCAGCAGCACCACCACCAGGGTCTGGAGTTTGCGGCCTCCCTGAACCTGGACATGACCGACGGCTCCTCCGCCTACGACGAGATGAAGTTCCTCAGCGTGGACGTGGACCAGTTCACGATCGACAGCTTCAAGGCGGACTGCATCCTCAGCATGGAGCAGTCGCAGATGCAGCCCTACGTGGGCCACTCCCAGCTGGTGGGCTCCTCGGGGGAGCTCTGCCTGGAGGGGATCGGCATGACCTCCTTCGGCATGGAGGAGGGCGGGCCCAAGACGCCCCCCTCGCTTTTGGTGCTGGACAAGGCGCTGCCCTCCTTGAGCATTGGCGTTGAGGGAATCGCCGATCTCGTGGAGCAACTGCATCATCACCACCACGAGGGCGGCTCGGTGGGAGTCGGTGTCATCTCCAGCGACGTTTTGTGAGTCCGAGTTAGGTGAATTCTTCGGTTAGTCGAACCTTAAGTAGCACTAATCCAATCCTAGCGTTAATTGAAACTGCTCCATCTTCTGTGTGGAAAAGTGGGGGAGTGGAGGAAACCGAGTGTGAAGCCAGTTATAGTTCTATTCTTGTTTTCTAGTCAATGTCGATAAGCCTTAGCCTAAGTTCAAGACCGAGCAAGGTCGCCACACTTGCAAACAAACATTTTGACAAATTATAAAATAAATTTAAAAGTTTTTTCTTCAAAAATATATGTATTATTTTCAGTTTACATATTTTTGGTACTTGAAAAAAATAATTTTTGTTTAGATTACATTTATTCTTTAACTTGTCAAGCGGATACATACATATTTTTGGATTGGCTTTTCCCAGTGCAAAACACTGAAAGTGAAATGTGGAATTCAAACTTTACAAACCGGGGCGATACGTGGCTTGACTACAAGTACGGACCTTTCTGGCCAGGTTCTGTTTTAGCTTTTATGGATTCCGCATGTGTGTGCCTAACAATGGAGTACCCCGCCCCACCCCCCGCCTGCCCCCCTCTGAATGCGTCTTATTTGTGGCTCGGATTAGGAAACTAATTGTGCGATTTGAATGGATTTCGGGTTTCGCTATGTTTGTTCGGCAATAACATTTACTTTGCTTTTTAACAACTGCTGAAAAGCGCCTCTAAACGCCATTCGCCATTCGACCTCTGACCTTCCCTCTTGATGGCTGTAATTTCCGTTTACAGGTATTAACGTGGGGTCCTGCTGGATCTGAGCCAGCTTAGGACAGCAAAGGACTCTTTCACTTTATTTAATAGGCGCCTAGGGAAAAACTCACGGCAGATGACGGTTTATTCAGGGTGGCAAAGTTGGAGTTGAATTGCATTTATTTTGAAATAAACCTGCTGTTCTGACTTCAGTTTAGAAAGCTTCTAAAGGTGTACCCCTCGGAGTCCGGTAATCATTTTCATAGCATTACCTTTCAGTACCCCTGGTATCACTACTGGTTCCTGGCTGGGTTAAGACCCTCCTGGTTGCAGGACTTAAGCCAAGGCCTTGGAGGGATTGGGGCTGCGAAAGGCCTGTCAGAGGGAGAGGTTCGGTGCTGGGGGCTCCGGCTCAGCTGGCTTAACACCTGGGCAAGCTCCTTGTGGATTTTGCGAGGCCAAGGGCCGCCTAATGCCACACCGCACCGCCCCGCTCCCCGTCCCGCCCCTTCGATGGGCTGTCAGCCATTTTGTGGCTGACAATGACGAGGACAATAAGCTAATTGAGGCTGAGGTGGATGTCGCAGCGGGCGGCCAGGCCGCAGACTCAGATACACACCAGCACGCTCGGGTGGCCAAAAAGTTCATTATCCCCGGCCGAGGGTTGACATGGCGGTCCTTGGACGAGGATGTCGGTGTGGATGTGGATGTGGATGAGGATGTGACCGGTTGCCATTGGATAATCTCCTGTTATGAGGCCGTGCAGCGATGCGCAGTGAAATTCGGATGGCTTTTTTGGCAGTGATTGAAGAAGCGGGATTGACACAATCTGAAACAAATTAGCAAAGTCCATTTTGGAAATGGAGCATTTAATCCCCCATTTTTATATTTATTTTGAGTTGTGTTACTCTGTCTAACTTGGCAGACTTTGTACTTCCGTTCTCGCATCTTATTCCTCGTCCTGTGACATTTAAAATTAATCGAAAATCTTTTCTTCGGCAATATTTCGAGCACTCGCCACTCGGGGCTATGTGCACAAGGACCACAAACTTTAATCGATAGTCAAATAAGCGCTGGTCCTTCGAGAAACGGGGGAACAGAGCTCGTCTGGCTTGCCTGTATATGTGTGTGTGTGCATGTGTGTAGCGTAAGGACATCCTGCGAGAGAGAGCTGAGAGCTGCTCCTTGCTCGGCTTTTGTGCTGTAATTTCTCTAACGTTTGTTTATATTTTATATCGAATGCGCCCCGGGCCGCATAAACGCAATAATCGCACATTTTATGGATTAAACTCACCTGCTCCGCCTGCTAATCTACAGCAGGATTCAGGATTCTCGACCATGGGTCTGTTCAGGTTGATTGATAGAAAAAGCGTTTTGATATCCTGGAAAAGCAAGGGTATTGAAATATCAATACCCTTTATAAGCACAGAGCACAAATGAGGATGAAATTATGTATATAAAAAAGTGAAAGGGGGGCAGCAACGTAATGCATTTAATTATAAAAATGTCCTGGCGCTTCGCCAAGAGGATTTATTTGTGTTCCTTTTCTGATTGAAACGTCTTAAAAGAATATTATAGGCAGTTCGTACCCCAGCATCACGGCATCCTGCATCGGCCGTAATCCTTCCCCGGAGCTCTGCTTCATGTCCCATCATAAATCCTCGGCCAGCCCGATCCGCCCCCAATTAGTCATTGGACTCCCGACACTCATGAATCTCTCAGTCGGCTCCAAATGAGTTATTCATTATGCATATGCATTCGATTTCCAGCCCTCCTCTCCTCTTCGCCCGCCGGGGCAATATTAAATAATGAAATATTAAAATCGAATGCGACTCAAATGACTTCACTCCCCGCGGACTCCCATTTTCCGTTTGGATCGCGGAGAGGTGTTCACGTGAATAAATTGCAATTAACAATATTTTTATTTCAACAAACGAAACTTCGACCCCCTCGGTTCCTATAAATAAAAAAGGGCAAAGGCAGGGCGAGCACATTTAATTAAAGGCAAATTTAATGGGTAAATATTTCATATGCTACATATATATACACAAAGCGAGGGTCGAAAAAACTCTCAAAAAAATGGTATTACAAATTTGCATGTACATTTACAACGTTCTACAGTGCGTCTCACAGTAATATATTTTGAACGATTTATGACTACTTTTAAAAAGAAGAACCTTAAAATTAAATCATTTTACTTGCGTTTACTTAGGAAAATAAATCTAGTAATAGATCCAGAAATATTGGAAAGTCAACTCAACTCTGTGTTAGCAACCTAGTCAGCGTTGTTTCGAAACGCACTCTACATACTGCTTAAAAAGTATACATTTTGATTTAAACGCGAATAAAAACCTTTGGGTCTGTATGCGAGTAAATAGCGAAGAACTGGAGAGCGGCGGCGGTAAAATGGGCCGGGGGAAGAGTATATTAAATTTCGTGTTGATACAGAACGGGAACGGAAAAAATTATGCGAGGCGTGCACTAGAAAAACAAAAGAAACACGAGAACGGTTCGGGGACGGGGGAGTGGAAAAAAGAAATCAGAAAAATTAATAGAGTGCAAATATTTGTAGATTTTTACACGAACTATTAACGGGCAGCAAACAAAACCCGACGCAAAAACCAGAAGCCAGAAAGCAGAAGCCAGGATCCCGGCTCGGGATTGGACTGGAGATTGCGGGTAACTCGAGATCGTATCGCACGGGATGGCATGGGATGGTATAAGGCCTATGCAAATAGAAGTCAGGGGAATGACAGGGCACAAAATGGCGACTTAGGAACTGAGGGCCAAATAAAAGGGAGGGAGCCAACTCGGGTCAAGATAGAATAAATTTGAATTTGAATTTTGGCCATCGATTCGTGTCGTCGGATCTCTCACCTGAATGGGCCTCAACTTGCAGCTCCGGCTCTGCCAAAGGAAAATAACAAGATGGAAACTTTGGCAAAGAGAAAAACACAAAAGGAGGGAGAAAAAACAAGCTGAAGAGGACAGAATCCAGTCCAAAAGGGACAATTTGTCATCCAAATTTGGCTGGCGGGAAGAGGGAGGGCAGAATGTTAGGGGGTTGAACTGAGAAAAATATGTACTATTTATCATGTATTCCCCAAAAAAAAAATATAAATTTTAGTTTGACTTCAGCTTGGTCTAGATTCGAATAATGGAATTGTTAATTTTAATATTATTTTCCATACTTTCCATATTCACTTAAATGGTTTATTGGACTTTATTCTCGCTGTGCAGGGGATGATTTGAGTGGCTTTGCCATCACGTTTTGGCACGGCCCCCGATTCGCAATGCAAGAATGAAAATGGCCAACAAATGCCGGCAGAGGACCTGCAGATACATCTGCCACAGAGCGGCGAAGATGCAGATGCATATAGATTTTCCTGCCCCATCTTCCACCATTTGAGATCCTTTGTGTGGTCCTCTGTCCGTGTGCAAATTGATTGGAGGCGAAGCCATCAAAGTGTCCATCGAAGCTGCTAACAGGCTGACCGTTGCCTCCCCTCCTCCCACATTTCCCGTTTCCCATTCAGTTATCCTCGGATCTCCTATTACCTGGACTGGCAGGTGTGAAAGCTTCTCGCCGGGTCTTCCCACTTACCATCAAAGTTTCCCCTCCAAATTAAAAAGTTTTCTTGGCAGTTCCTTGACTTTTGACGAGTTTTATGTTTTATTTTCGGTTTTCAATAAGTTAGTTTTAACATTAGAATTAATCGTTGGAGGAATGACACTTAACTTTTGTCTAGTACGGTATGTTCTTATTTATCAATACTCTTTTGAGGAGATTTGTATATTAGATGCGTTTACTTTTGACTTGGACACGGGACACGAAACAATTAAGATAAAATGCATTCACACGTAATACAATACATTCGCGCACACACATGTTGGCGTTAAATTATTACTGTACAGATTTTACTAAATATAATTAAATACTTTTCTAGTACGCCCTTCTGTTCAACTTATAACTGAGTAACAAAAAATGCTTGAGAATTTGTTCATTCATTTCTATGTACAAAACAAAACTTATGAGCTAAGGGCCTTAGTGTCAATGTCCATTTTAATAAACTCTTTAAAATAAATAATTTTAAGTACTCAGTCATGTGAAGAATTCAACAAATAAATCATTTTGTTAACTCAATTAACAAATTTTTGTTTTAGAATTACTGATAAATGCAGCCTACACCCCCTAAAACGTTTAAATGAATGTGTTTCTTTGCGACATTGATCTCCTGGCCCTTGAAATATTCCTACAACTTAAGGCTAACTCTCACTATATACACCCCCTGCCACGCCCTTCTTATGCTACTTCCAGATCGGAGGACTCGTCGGCATCGCTGTAGCCGTTCGGATCGCTCTTGATGTGCACTAGTTGCGCTGAATAGTGATCGGATCCGGGGCATTTTACGGATACGGAGCCGTTTCCGGTGGTGCTGCCGGCTCCGCTGCTGCCGCTGTTGGTGGTGGTGGTGGTGCCGTTGGTGGTGCTGCCGCATTGCTCCTCCTGCAGCTTCCGCAGCCGCTCCTGCTCCTCTCGTTTTTGCTTGCGCCACTTGGCCCGACGGTTCTTGAACCACACCTAAAAAAAAAGAGAAAAATAATTTATTAAAATATTGTTCACACGGTTTGTAAATAACTATTTTAGTTTGATTAAGCTTAACTTCTCGGTGTTACTATAGGAAACATGTAAACCGACTATTAGGTCTTCGATTTTCCTTTTTTTTTTTACAAAAATTAATACTGAATTCCTCTGTTGAGTTGGACGGTTCCGTAAGAAGGTGGCTTGAGTGGTTGGTGGGCACCTAGGTTACTTTTAAACGTAGGGCTTCAAAAACACTTTCATCCGTTTTGCCTGGAAATTCGCTTTTCTTCTGCCTGGGATTTTTGCTCATAAATATTTAAAGTAATTTTTTCACCCTCTCTTTTTTAGACTTTGCAAGGCTTCTTTGCCTCAATCCTGGCGTTTATCTTTTGGCCAGTTGCCAGGACAGCAATCCTGGCACTCTGATTTACATTTCTCCTCTTCTGGGTTTAATGAGATGACTTATTGTAATTGTAATTAATTAAGAATTCAAAGCGGGTGGGTGGAGAAGAAAGAGAAAGAGCTGTCGGAAAACCTTGTGCTCAGTGGGTAGCAAAGGGAATCCATTATATTTAAAAACCGAAGGCAGACATATTGGTTTTTGCTCTTTATTACAACCAATGTGATATAGGTGCAAAGATGATGATTTAATGTATAATTCACTGCAGGTGATTACCCAATTCGTTACCACTTCTTTTTTCCTTTTTAATTAGGCTTTAGCCACGCCCTTTGCGACTGGGCTCTTTCACGCCACCTTTAACCCCTTCAACCCCACCATTCAGCTCCTGGCGCGCCTGCACCTCCACCTCCTCCCCTGCTACTTAGTTAATTAAAACAAAAGGCGGCTGTGAAGTGACTTAGGGGTTAAACATCATCAGGAGGTTATCTGCCGGGCGAGCTGAGCATCACGAGCAGGAGGACAGGAATCCCTTATGTAATCACCCTTGTGGGCAGCGAGCCCATCTGTCTTGTCATTAGCCCCCAAAGCTACCCCCAAATCCCATCCCCACTCCCCTTCGGAGGGCGGAGTCTCTCCTCTCTTTCTCTCGCCGGTTCTCCCTGCGATGCTCTATTTGCCCAATCCGAGTGCAATGGCAAATTTGCAACCCCTATTTGTTTATTTGTCCGTCTGTTTGTTGATTATTTGCTGAATAAATACTGCGGAAAATGCTCGGAGAAAGTTCGCAGCCAGTCCAGGAAAAAGTTTAATTAGAACAATTAGCAGCGGTGGAAAGTTGATTTTTCACAATGTTATCATTCGAGGAAAAAGTTGGGTTTTCTCTGGGGTTCGGGAAATGTTTATGCAGCAAATCGACTGAATTTGTTGGAATAACAGAGCAGGAGGAAGCGGAAGTGGCGGCGGAAAATGCGGCAATGGCAGGAAAATGCGCTAAACTTATAAGCAAGGGAATCACTTCCGCTCGGAATTCATGTTTGAGCTCATTTAAGTTCGCAATAAGTTTGTGTTCATTTTTGCAGCTGCCTTTCCGGAATTATTTGCTTAGGATTTCATTTTTGTTCGTCCTGGCAACCTTTGAACTCCGCCAGTTGGCAACGCGTTTGATGTCCTCGCAAATGTCAGTTCAAATTCTCATTTGTTTTCCATTTTCCACTCGGCCTAATTGGATTTTTGACAACTCCCGCCCTTTGTTGTATTTCACATTTTTCACATATTTGTTTTCTTAATTTTCATAATTTTGTGGGCTTAAGTTATTAAAACATCAAAAGCGCGCACACAAACGCGTCGCCTTTTTCAAAAACTGCGGCAATGAATTTGTGATTTAGTCAGCTTAATTATGTCAACACACAAACTAACACGGTAATTACCTATGCAACAGTTTTAATCCATAAATTCTAAAATACAAAAAACTAGTAATTTGCCGGGGGCGAAAGAAATTGCTGGCAATTTTGCCGCCTGATGATTGCGCTTTTTTGCGTTTTCGCTTATTAAAGTTGAATATTTTAATTAAATGTTAGCCAGCGAACCGCATTGAACCCTAATCCGGCGGAAGTACTAGTCCGGAGTTTGAGAGCCGTGTGTGTGCGCCGGAAAAAATGGCTCGCTCTGCTAATCCCGTAATTTGTACGGCCAACAGTGTTCGCGGGAAACTTCCCTCCTCCGCCACGCGTTTAAAATCTGACTAACGCACAACAATTTTTGGCCATAGCCGCGGGCGCGTTTTTTCCGCTTTTCGCTGGCTGGCACGCTCGCAAAAATCGCAGTGAAAATTTGGAGAAATTAAATAAACAAAGGCGCAAAAAGCGGTGGCCCCCAAGGGGGGAGAATCTGTGGGCTTGGCGATTTCCCCTGTTGATTGATAGCTTCAACAACATGCCAACAAAATGGCGAGACTGCATCGTCCACTTGGAAAAATAAGGTTTGAAAAAGTAGTTTCGATATCGATCAATCGGTTAGAAAACAATTGGTTCTTTATATAAAAATCTGTTTGCTGGAAGGCACTGAAAGAAAATAAAAGAGAAAGTACGATAAATGTATGATTTGAGCCCAATTTGAATGGTCGCTTGAGTTCGGTTATCTTTTTCAGTGCAAGGCACCCCGATGCACTTTTTTAGGGCCACGAAGCGGCCAACTTGACATGCATTGGCTCGCGCCTTGGAGTCGAGGACTCCGGATCCACTGGCCACGGCAAATATTGCCACAGATTTTTCATCCAAAAGCGCATAAATCGCTGATACCGCAGGAAAATCGGGGCGTGGGAACTCCGGCGGCCAGGAGGCTGAAGAGGCCGAGGAGGCACACATTCGGAAACGTGCATGAAATCCATTGAACAAACAGACCCACGGCAGTTGATTTTTAATTAACTACAAAAGCGCTTTACGCTCCGCCCCCTCGATTCCCCCTGTGAAATTGGCAACTCGGGGGGGCGGGCGGTGCGGATGGGGCGTTCTGGCAGACTGACCACCGTGATGTGTGTGTTATTTTTGGGTTTTTTGGCCAGTCTGCTGACTGCGTGGCTGGATTACCATGAAATGTTGCCGAAAATGCAGCCCATAGTTGCACTGCTATGATAACTTTGCGCTTCGTTAATCGCAGCACCTGCTCTTTCGATTTTTCCCTCCTAAAGTTTCCGTGTTTTTCCGGGCCCGGAAAATTGTGTCCCCGGCAAAAGCCAAAAACATTGAAACACCAGGCGACCAAAAATAAAAGGAAAATTACATTTTGGCTGGCTCCACTGGAGGTTAATAAGAATGGGGGCTGCGGTTGGAGGGGAAAACTGGATGGTGGGTGGTTCGGAGCGGTGGAACACAAAATGGCGGCTGAGTTCTGCCAGTCGCTCTAATTAGTGAAAATTGGCAACACAAGTCGGTCGGAAAGTTCGTCACCAAAGTGGGTGGCGCCTTCCCGCCCCAACCCCTTATTTTCGCAATTTCCAAACAACCTTTTCTGGCAAATTGTTGACGCTGTTTCCGTCGTGTTGTTGGATTAAAATCGCGCAGCCGTGAAAATTGCTCGTCCGCACATTGCCCTCTTTTCTTTTGGTTTTTTTTTTTTGAGTGCATGTGAGGTTAAACAAGTTCAAGCCAATGCGTTTCAATTAAAGGGCTAAGATGATTTACGAGATAATTTTTTTGCCAAGAAAGGTTTCCCTAAAAGACCATAATAATGATGTTCATATTTCGTTTGTATAAATTTGACTACCGGAAAATCCATCAAAATTAATGCATTTTCACCCTCAAAAAGCGTTAAAAAGCTATAGTTCTTTTTTAATTTTTCCTTATTGCTAATCGCTGACACGGGCAACCTTTTAAAAGCTTAGTGAGGAGTGCACCTGCCCTCCCACCTTCCACCTTCCACCATTCACCACCCACCGCCCGCTCACTTGTCGTGCGTTTTTTGTGTAAATTTATGCAGCTTCGAGGCAATTTTCTCCCCAGCGATAATATTTGTCTACGGTTACACGCTTCGACAGCCAAAACTGTAAAGCAAACATGGGAAAAGCGTCTGTCCCCCTCGGAAAAGTCCTGCCCTTCCGCTTTTCACGGCTCGAGGCTGTAAACGCACTTTGCAGCCCGCAATTCTCGGGGGATACGTTCGGAAAAGTCCGCATCCTCGCATCTCAAGTGTTTGAATGATGGAAAATTATGAAAAATTATAACAACAGCGCTTACTGCGGGGTGGGGGTGTGAGATTTGCGGGCGGAAAGTGGGTGGTTGAGTGGCTCACTCGGTGGGTGGTGGGTGCTGGGTGATGGGCGTTGGGTGGTTTCGTGACCTCGGGCAAAATTAACGAAAATCTGCTGATTCCAGCTCATTGCCGTTTTTAATTCAATTTCGAGGCTAAACAAACATCGAGGGGAGGAGAGGAGATGAGTTTATTGTGTCTAAGGAGAGACGACAGCAACAACAACAATAACAATAACAACAATAATACAGAAGCAATATTTTAGTTAATTGCCAACGCAGGTGGCCCTGAAATAGAAGAAGTCGAAGTGGAGGCCGAAGGAAACCCTTTTGAAGTCGGAGCCTCTCGATTGTGCAACTTCAAAGCGGCGAGGTTCGGGATGATCCTCGAAGAAAGGCAGTGGGTGACAAGCCCTTTTCAGTCCTGGCCAAAACAAAACGACAAAGCAGGGAACACAACAGCAGCAGCAGACACAACAGAGATCAGTCCACAATGCAGGAGCGATGAGTGGGCACATTCCTTCCACTCTCTACGTGGATAAGTCTCCTCCGAAGGAAGGGGAAGGGGCAACATCAATATTTGTGGAGTTGAGCGATCGCCGGAGAGAGGAGCCCAAATTATGCCAAGCTGATGATTACTAATTTCTTGGCGACGACCGAAGACAAATATTTGAAAGGCCCTCCAGGCGTTCCTCTATATACGAACATATTTCCCTCTCTGTCTGGCGGATCGGAGAACGGAGAACGGAATCACCTCGATCACTTGAGCTGCGGGATTAGGCGTATTTGCCTTGCACGCACCAAAGAAGCCAAGGCGAAAAAAGAGAGGCAGCGGCGGAAAGAACGGGTTTGCCTACAGGTAGAGCTACTGTTTTACCCGATTTCGTTTATATCCAAAAGAATCCAATACAATCCCATCCCATCCAAGTCAATCCAAACCAATCCGACCCGAAGCCAGTCGACTCTCGAGTGGCTAAATAAGAATAATAATTGTAAATGATGAAGTCAAAATAAGCAGATCATTTAAATGCCGAGCGATGTTTGGGTGGGAACTGAATAATTACGGGCATCTGTGAGAAAAGTTCAATGGTAAATGGATTGCTGTGCTTGGAACTTCCTGACTGATTTTCCTTTTCACCAGGACAGATATAGCTGGCTAAATGTGTTTGAAGCTATTACCTAATGGATCGCCGATTGCTCGGAAAGTAAGCCCTGCGTAGGCTTCGAACTATTCAGTTTTTTCCCCTCCGTTTTCTCTTTTGTTATTGCTGCTGTTGTCTTAGGCAAGATTTTCAATAATTATTGCCACTTACGTCCGCCGGGGTCTTAGAGCAACCGTACGGAGTCACGGGGCAGAGGGGCAGAGGGGCGGGGGTGGCGACTCGAGTGGCGACTCTCGGCATGCAAATATGCTAAACAGTAGCAGTCACAAAAGCCGGGCTCCGACTTGGGAGCCGGGCTCGGAGTTGATTATGCTGCTTAAGTCAATGACGAGCCAACGAGCGATGACTGAGCACAAGATTTGCTGCCTGCCGCTCTTCCTCGACCACTTTGCTTGTCAGAGACAAGTTTGAAGTCTCTTCTGTGTGTTGTATGTTAATTAGTCGCCCCGTGAGCCAGCAGATTCGAGTCGCCCGATTTTCAATTCCAATTAGTTGAAAAGCTGGCCAGCCTCCCCCATCCGCTTTTCCGGGCCACAACCTGCATTCTAATCCGCTTAGGACTCCGATGCGCCCGCGGGCCAAGTTTGTCGCCTAATCAAAGAGCGGGCGTCAGTTGGCCTGCGGGCTAAGTGACGCCACGCCTCCGCCTCTCATTATCCTAAATGGCTAGTAATGTTAATGTGCGAGTTGTCGTAAGCTGAAGGCTAAACATAAGCCCACGCCCCCGAGTGTCAACAAATGTCGCACTTGTCCGCCTTCCCCGCCTTCCTCGAAGGTGAGTTTGCTCGAGGAAGGGTTCCAATGGGTTAGATCAAACATCTGACCGGTTGACAAACATATCGCCAGGGAAACAGCCGGCGAGGGTCCTGGAAAGCGTTGCTAATCCTTATCAGAGCTGCGAGTAGCCACCCACCAGGCCACCAAGTTGTGAACAAATTAAATTGTCAACTTTGTCGTCACTTTCCTCCTTGGCGACCTCTCAATTTGTTTGTTTGTTGTCGGGTTTCCTCGACACTAATGGACTTTGAATCACAATTGCCGAGGCCAAAGGGATGGTTATCCTCGGGGCCCTGGGGTGGGATTGCCGGGGCGCAGGAGGCGGAATCCCTGCGTATTTACATTACCAATGATACGATTCAGGGACAACCACCGAGCAAACAACCATCGCCATCCGTTTAACATGCGGTCGTGTCCCGGTCCCATCACCCATTACCCATTACCCAAATTAAGTGAATCATTGGGATTGGCATTGTTTTGCTTTCGCCTGCGAGAAGCCCTCAAAATGTTCGCCGCTGACAACTAAATAAACATCGAGAAGTTCTCAGGGGGAGAACTCGGGGAGAGATTGCGATGCAGATGCCACGGACTCAGGCCCAGACTGAGATTCAGATTCGGATGCGGATTCGGAATCTGATTCATGTTGGTTGAGTGCGGACCAGCGGGGGAGTGGCACTCAATTGGTTTCGCGCGGGGAATTAAAGCGAGCGTGAAATTAGAGCCAAGCAGAAGAATAGGTCGCTCGTGGGCGGGGAAACTGATTTCCACAGATCAAAATTGTGTTTTAGATACATTAACTTACTGATGTTGAATGAATTCGGATAACCAATTATAAATTACTTTACTATCTAAGGGTATTTCTAGATAATGAGAACTGGGAACTCACCTCAACACGCTCCTCCTTGAGATCCACCTTCAGGGCCAGCTGCTCCCGGAGCACCACGTCCGGGTAGTGGGTCTTGTCGAAGGTGGCCTCCAGCTGCTCCAGCTGCTCCTCCGTGAAGATGGTGCGGTGGCGGCGCTTCCTCTTCGGCGGCGGCCCGTGGCCCAGGTGGCCCAGGTGGTGCTGCCCGTGTCCGTGGTGGTGCGCCCCCAGGTGCGGGTGGTGCGGGTGCCCGTGGGGGTGGTGCGGGTGGTGCCCGTGGCCCGCCAGTCCGGCGGCTGCCCCACTCACATGCGCCTGCATCTGAGCAGCAGCCACATGGGCCACCGCCGCCGCGTGCATGTAGTTGGGATAGAAGTTGGGGTACGCCACTGCAGAGGAAAAACAAAGGGGAAATTCATTATTCTCGTCTGTAATAACAGTCATATCATCATCAGGAAGGCGGAGGAGGGGCGGGGTTTGGGGGGTAAGTGGAATATTCCTGGGCAAATCCTTAAAAATGCGCATAACGAAACGCGGAAAATAAAACGGCCGCCATGTTGGCTTCACAGACGAGGTAAAGTGGTTAGCAACTTGTTTCTGATTTTGATAAGTTATTTTTTTGCACACACTCGATTGCACCTTTACAAGCAGTTTCCTCTTTTAATACGGAACTAGATATCTTTAAGATCAGACAAATATAATGGCACACGCTGTACACAAACTCTACCTAGGATTTTGACCCCGGCTGTACGCGTATGTGAGGCTTCCGTTTCCGGTTGCAGCACGCTGAGGAAAAAGTTGCGCCCAGGTTTTTAATATTCATGTCCTGCGGGGAGCCTTTGAATGAATTTAAGCGGGATTCTGCATAAATCTCCGCCGGAGATCCACGCTCGAATCAACACAAGACCCGAGCCCATCTTAAAGCCACCCCGAAAGCGGTTTTCCAACGCTTTTCCGACCCAATCTGAGACTTAGACCCCAATGCAAATCCTCTCACCGCAAAATCGAAGGGAAATGGAAGGGAAATGCGGAATCATCCTTTACGGATCATTGCCTAATTATGAATAATGCCATTCAGGATTCGCTTGTGAGTGGGGGTTTTCTCAGGTTTGGTGGGCGGGGATGAGGATGTCAGGATGAAAGTGGGTGACTGGATTCCCTCAAGGTGCGCTTGGAGTTGGGTTTCGATAAATAAAGTGGTTGAACAGAACAGAGTATTCAATAATATTGGTAATATGTGGAAATGGGAATATTTTTTCAAACCTAAACCTTTCATATTCCAATTGTATATTGATAATAATAGAAGGTAAATTGTGGGACACGTCTTTAAGCTCACCTAGGAAGTCCGAGGGTGAGGCGGCGAATCCGCTGGCCGCTGCCGCCGCCAGGTGACCGAGGTGCAGGCCGGGATGCTGCAGCATGGCAGGAACCCTCTGCGGGCGGATGGGGCTGGCGGCGGCGCTGGAGCTGGAGTTCGAGTTGGGCGAGGCGGGCGACTCGGCGCCACTGCGCTTCAGTCCCAGTCCGATGCCGTTCGAGGTGAGTCCGTTGGGGACCGCTCCGTTGCTGCTGATGATGTGGCTGCCCTGGCTACCGGCGGAGCCTCCGGCCTGCTGTCTGGAGCCCAGAATGCTGTCGATGGTGAAGAGGGAGGCGGCCGCCGCTCCGCCCCGCCGGTCCTCCTCCAGAATGGTGACCCCCGACTGGCTGCCGTCGTCGGAGGAGGGCGTCTGGCTCTGGGACTGCTGGTGGGCGTGCTGCTGCTGGAGCACGGACTGCAGCCGCTGGCCCAGGTAGCCGCACTGCTGCGAGTTGAGGAGCATGGCCGTGGTCAGGTGGTAGGCGGCCGAGTTGCCCGGGGAGCGCGAGATCTGGGGCGCCGGCTGCTGCTGCTCGCCGAGGTCGCTGGGCGATCTCTTGAGGGAGTAGCCCGCCGGCGGGGAGTTGGTCTCGACCATTTGGGCCAGCAGGGAGCCCGCTGGCGGGGGGCGTCGGCGGCGGGGAGGGGCTGGGCGTGCTCACGACGGTGATCTTGAACTTGGCCTTCGAGGGCGGGATGTCGGGCGTTGTGCCGGGGGTGGTGGTGCCGCCTCCGCCGCCTCCTCCTCCTCCGTTAGTCGCGCCGCCCGCCAGCGTCGCCGGAGTCCACAGTGAGGAGAGAATCTTGATGGATTCTGTGCAACTTTCAGGCAGAAACGTTTGTCCGTCGCGCAGTTCAAACACTTTTCAAACACAGTTTAAACCGACGGCGAAAAGGGAGAACTGAACAAGTGAATGGAGTTCTTTCGGGAGTTTGTCAGTCACAGTTTTGCACAAATGCTTTTAAGTTTCTAATTGCTGCGAAATCCACTAAACTGCTAGTAAGCCGCACTAGAAACACGCGTCGTGATTTGGTAATTTCACAGGTTGATCAGCTACCGGGAACCCTTCTTGTCCGCTCGAGCTGCGAAACTGTTGTGAGAGTGTGCCGCCCGACAAGTTGGCGAGTCGTCAGGCCAGTTCCTCCACAGCGCAGATACACACACAGATGTCGATACAGACTCTCAGTTACCTGGTGCAAACCGGGACTCTCTCTCTCGTTCAGCGGACATTTTGGACCCCGGCCAATGGAAGCGACGCGAAGCCACGCCCCCAGTGCTACCATATTGTTTTGTAGTGCTCTCTGGCCTTCGCGCTCTCTCCCAGCAAACCTCCCTGCCTTTTTCCCTTTCTCTCCTTCCATCTCTCTCTATCACTCTCTATTTCCCTCGCTCGCGTTGGCGGTGGTTGAAGGTGTTGGGGGCCCCATCTTGCAGCTTTCCGGGTTTTAAGGTTGCCAGGAGGTCTTGGATAAAGATGGCGCTGCGGAGATAATGTCCCCTTCACAAAGCCCCCTTTTTCCGCTTTCACCCCAATTCTTGCACATATTTTTTGTATTTTTCAGCCACTGACAGTTATTTATACAGATAAAGTCATCACTGACAGACCCTGCGGCCCCCAGAGAAAGAGATAGCTGTCGCAGAGTGAGAGAGATGGGCAGAGGGTGCGAGAGAGATGGCTATTCGGCAGCTCTTTCACCGGGGAGTGGGGCAGCATAAAAATGCAGATGGAAGCGGTGGGTGGCGGAAAGGCCGGCTCTCTCCCCGCTTTCAGGGGATTCTCCGCTGCCTCTGCCGGCGCTGTATCTTAAGAAGATAATGACTAAATTAATGCTTTTATGTTTTTGGCAACACATAAACATCATTATGCGCTCATCCGCCCACGGATATGCGCTGCTTCTTGCTTCCTCTCCCAGCCTGGTTTCCTGTCTTCCTCGGGGGTTAAGGATACATAGAGGAGCGTTGGGGACCTTATATAGGAGGAACCCAACTGGAGAAGTGCAGGGAGAGTGCAGCCTTTGCGGGAAGGAGAAACGAGAGTTCCCCCGATAATCTACGGCACTTTGGTGACCCTCGTCTCGCTATTGTTTCGATTCGTGTGTGTGCATATGAAAATATTTTAATCTAAAGTTTCCACATCAAACATGCCCAAGTGCAAAATCCCCATTTGCCCCCAGGGATGCCCCGGTTCCCCTCCCTCCCGAACGCAGTGAAACTAGAGCTAAGCTTCGACTAATGATAAATGCAACTCTGGCAAGGCACACACACAAACACGAGTGGAAAGCCACCCAGGAAAGGCGAATGAAGCGAAAAGTCCTTACATGTCACCTACGTGGGGATGTAAAGCTATTGATCACTCGAAAAAAAATACTTTTAAACAAACTTCAGTGATATTTTTATTGCAAGCATATTTGTTTGAATTAGTAAGGTATATAAGTATGTACAAATATAGTCGATTCATATCCTTATTGATATAATTTTTTATCTTTACAGACCGTGTTTCGTACTGTGTAACATGAAGGACAGAGAGGTCCTGAGAGAAAGCTTACATAAATGCAGATATTTGAGAGTGTGTCGGGTGTATGTGTTCAACTGATTACGGGGAAAGGACCAAGACGAGCGGTTCTTTCACATGTTGTAAAAGGATGAAAGGATGACGGCTGATGACGTCCGATGTGGCCAAATGCTTTTAGAAATTATTGAATAATTAAGCAGGCCAGGAACCACAGGACTAGGAACACAGGACATTTTCGCCCCCCATTTCTCTCCGAATCTCAGAGGATTCTCCATCCCGCTTTTCCCTGGGCTACGCTATTTGCCTTTGCACTGAACTTCTTACATGGCCAAAACTCCCGGCGGAAAAACCGATGATGACGTTGGAATACATAGGGAAAGTTGGTTGAGAAAGGCAAGAAGCAGAGGGAGAAAAATAAGAGGAAGCACTGGGAGTGCGCTTCTCGCTAAGCTCAAAAGTTGTGCCTTACTTTTTCTATTATTTTCCCTCTGTTTTTTCTGTTGCTTTTTTCCATATGGATTTTTTCGGTTTTTTCCTTTTCTCCCCAACTCTGACCCTATTCTCCCCACTCGCTGTGCACTTTTTGTTTTAGTTCGCAGATTGAATTTTAAATAAAAAATTAAATTAACTCGTCTAAGTATTGTATTTGGTTTTGAGCCACTACCCCTTCGATTGGCTGTGCGAAAAAGTTCAATTGGCAAGGACTAAGTAAACATTGTGGAATAAAAGGTTTTTCTACTTTTCCATTTGAGCGCCGGGGAAAGGCGAAGGAAAACGTGGAGAAAAATCATCATCTTCCTCGAACTTTTTCTTGGCTCCCGATGAGGATGATTTTTATTTCGATTTTCTGTTGCCATTTCTCTTTCGACGCCCACGGCTACATTTGCGAGTTGTGCAAAATTAGAAAAGTTTTCCTCGCTCTCTCTCTCCTTCCCTCTCACTCCCATGATTGCTTCCCAGAAGCGGAAGAGGCGGGTGGGGAAAGAGGGGGTGGGAGGGTGGAAGGGTGGTGGAGGGGGAGGGCGTGTGCTTTGCGTATTTGTCTTGTTAAAAATTTAAGCGAATTTCCTCGAGAAGCCAAATCGAAATCAGCAGCAGAGTCCGCACCGGAATCGGAATCAGATTCTTCGGATATTGAAGCTAATTCCGGCGCTGAGGATTTGCGATTGCGGCTGAGTCGCCTGCTACCGACATTGATATGTTAATGAAGCCGCGCCGCCGGAATCGGGATTAGAGAGTTCCCGTCAGCGGCAGCAACCCCCGGATCCCGGATCACTCTGAATGGTCACAATTCGGAGCGCAGTCGCCCCGGTCGCAGGATTTTCGGGTTGATCCCAAAGCTACACAGGGAACAACAATTTCATGGGAGCGACAATTTTATAAGGCATATAATAAATAGCCTCGACATCTCTTTGCCACGAACATTCGGTTCATATTCAACCAAAAGTGTTTCATGAATACAATTCAATGTCTTTGGATGCAGCTAATAATAATAATAATCATTTTGATGTATATTGTATATTGTATAGATACAATAACAGCTTTTTTACAGTGTACGATCGAGAAGCAATCCAGGGCAATGGCGGCCGCATCAAGGGATCAGTCAGCTCAGGGATCAGGGATAAGTTTAATCTTGCGATATGCGTAAGCGTGCAAATTGCATCGATTACGCATGGCGGGAAAGAGACGGGGAGATGGGATCAGAAAGAGAGGGCTGGATGGAGACAAAAGGTGCAATAAAACCGAAAACCCGTGCGGATGAATGGAACCCTGTGTGGAAGATACGGGGCGTGAGGCAAAACCAAAATGGTAGAAAATGGACCGCCGATCAAGGGGATTGGAGTGAGCGGGAAAGAGAGGGACATAGCGCTGAACAGGGAGAGGGAGAACAGCCATCAGGAGCAGCTGCTTTCCGCTTCATCCCAAGGATGCGTGTTTTGGGTTTCTATTTGCGTAAATAAGGCCACACTTTGGTCAGATCTCAATTCTCTATCGCTGTTTGATATTGGGCTATAGAGGGATTCCCGGCTTGTTTGATTTGCTCCGGGAAGGTACTCCTGGATAATGCATCGATTCAGGGCTTCATAGAATAGGCAGTATAATAAAGCCAAGTGAGAAATCAATTGACAGATAACCTCCCAAACGAATTCTGGTTTGAAGCCTCAGGGGATTTTATTGTAAGGGAAGTATTACAGATTATTTATTTATATAATCACAACATAGTAGTTAAGTTATCGAAGGAGAAATATTAAAAAATATTAAAAACGGATCATTATCAACACTATTATTTTATAAATTGTGATTTTCTAGTTCCTATACAATATATTATATATAAACGTAACAACATTAAATATTAGTTATGTATCTTTTCTTTGTTGGGAGTTGTTTTCCTTTCCTTCAGCCTATCAGAAAACCCAACACAACTCTCCCTTTTCCTGCTTTTAGGCTGTCATAATTGTTCGTGTTGATTTGATGCGTAATTAAAAATTTAAATTATGTGACCCGAGGATGTTTTGTGGGCGTGTGGGTGGAAAAAATATAGAAAAGGGGCGAGAATGGCCAGTCAAATATTTGTCAAGTGGAATGGCAGGGAAAACATCCTGGACGAAGTAGGTAAAAAGGGTCCTCGTAAAAGGCAATCCCATTTGCAGGAACTTTTGCTCTCTACCGAAAATTACTTCAACTCAATTAATTAGCTGAGTTTTCCGAGCTGAGTTTTCTTTGCAAAATGAACTTTGGACTCGTTCCCATTGGGCTTGTGCCCTTTTGGGAATTTTGTTTGCCTTAACTCTTTCTTGGCAAATCTCGCAAATCAGAATTCGGCCCTGAGACTCGTCCCCAACTCCGTCCTCCTGGTATTTCAGATGTTTCTGCTCCGGTTCGACGTCACCTCAGACAAAGTCAAACAAATTGGCAAACAAACAAATCGCGAAAGGGGAATGCAATCAAACAAATGAAGGATTGCAAAGGTGCAAAAGGGGAACTAAAAATATAGGCTCCAGGATTTGGAGCACTAAAAGAAATTTATCGTACATACGTTCTGCACTGAAATTGTAATGATTCCAAAGTTAATGAATGCTGATTTCAATGTCTGACAAAAGCTTGTATTAAACTGTTCATTTTTAGGTAATTACTCTGAATGTTCTCTTTTTTCCAGTACTTGCGTTTATTACAGTGTAGAATCAGCTGCTGTGAAGGCTCTCCATTCAGCGTGTGTGGCTTGTTTGTTTTTTTCCCGTGTTTTCCCGGTCCGTCGTCCTTTCTCGTTTCATTCCCTATTTCCTTGTTATCCCCGTGTTCTCTGTTTATTTGGCCTTGTTGTTTCGGGCATAAAAAACTAAGCAACGCAAACTGATACCCGCTCCTGTTTGAGGTCCTGTCTGGGGATCCCAGCGATTTGGCTGATCGTTGTCCCGCTCGCTTTTCAATTGACCATTGAAAATCGCAACAAGGATCAGCCGGGATGAGCCCCCGCTCTGCATGGAAAACAGAGAAGGAGAAGGGAGAGTTCCCCCTCCCTCGACCTTCCATTTTTCCTGCTCATTTTTTGTTTCGCTTTTTGTCCCTTTCTTCACACGCCCCGCACAAGAAAGAAAGAAATGCTTTCTCCGCCACGCTGCTCTCTTTTCGCTTTGTTTTTGCGGTGATTGGTGATGCGCATTTGATTGCTTCGATCCGAGGATATACTGCAATCCTGGAAACAATCGATCCCGAACCTGTTATCCCACTGTTCGTGCTTAAGTCCTTGGAAAATCGTTTTTTGCGCCTTTTCCATTTCCCTCCCGACTAATTGCGAGAGAAATCTGCTAAGACCTCCGGACCGGGACTAGATTGAGATACGCAGATACGGCTGAGATTCAGATTGATTTCAGCAGCGGCAGTCGGCCGGCGGCTGCATCTGAATAAAAGGGTGTGAAGTGGAGGGCACTTGAGAAATCTCGTTATCCTGTCAGCAGCAGGACTCTCTTCTCCTTGGCACTGCGCTGCTTCGCCTGCGAAAAGTGCCAGTCACTTATGAACTGGGTTTCGGCCTGGGAAAAGTGGGGGAAGTGGAGAGCTGGGTGCCAAGTGCTTCGGCAGCTGTCCTCGCCTGCAGCTCGCATATCGCTTACAGTCCGAAAGCAGATGAATGAAAGCAGCCAGCGATTCTGATTCCGATTCTGATTCTGTCACCCGTGCACTCAAAAAAAGGGGGATATTTTCCCTCGAAAATGAGTAGCTTATTGCGACAAAAAGTCTCATGCGTTCGTTAATTAAATGCTTAATTTGTATAGCAACCATTTACCTTTATTTCTTTTTAGAGCTATTTTCTTGTGTTTCTGTTGCGCTTCTCCCTGAGTGCAGATGAATGAAAAAAGAGCAGCAGCTCGTCCTGTGTCCCCTCCCCTATTTTCCGCCTACGACAACACCCGCAGCAGGGAAAAGCGGCGAGGAGAGGATCAGGAGTGCGCAGCTCTTTTGTTGGGCTTAGCCCTAGTCCCGGCAGCATTCGTCCTGCTCGTCCTGCGGGAAAGCACAATAACCGAACCACTCAAATCGCCTCGGCGGGACTCAATTGTTTTCGAGATCAATTTGCAACTTAATTGAAATCCATTTAAAGTAATGAGAGTTACTAACTTGTCCTGCCGACCCCAGATCCCTTCCATTGTTTTCGCACCCTTGCCTTCGCTACCCTTTTCGGCGGCCGCAGGCTTTAAGCTGATCCCGTGCTCAAGATTTATAATCCCACGCAGCGCGGCAGTGGCCTAGATACCTGTGGAGGCACCCACCATCTTCCGATTGTTCCGATGGTCCTGCTCCTGATTGTCCTCTTGTCCTGCGGCCACAGATCTATTTGCGAGCCGTGCAATGCAAATTGTCCCTAATGTAGCCGAAGTAAGTAGCAATCTGCTGGCTCCCCGCGGCGAGGATTCCGCTCGAGATGTCCGCCTGCCCAACCGAGGTTCCAAACTGGTTCCAAAATGGGAGAGCTCCCAAAAAATAAACAAATTCTAGATAATTTCCAAAAAACAATAACCTTAAATAAAATGTTGATACAACAAATGTATTAATATAAATTAATATGCAATTACATTTACTTTAATATTGATCCTTTAGTTTTAAAGAGACCTTTAACTAGTTCTGACTCACCAGATCTCAACACACATGCCAGCCAGTCGAATTAAAATCTGTTTTTGGAGTGCGCGCACAAAATATGCAAAATAAATGCGGGCAAAAAGTCGCTGGCCAAGTCCATTAAAAGGGAATAAGTGCGTGCAAATCCTGGCCGCGGGATGTTTTTCATATTATCAGAACGCATATTGCTTTATCGGAAATGAAGAGCTTTCGCTCCCCGCAAGTTGCCAAAGTAAACATGTGCGAAGTGCTCCGCAAAGGGGAGGGATGATGGGCGGGACGATGTCCTGATGGCCACATCTACACCCGTATCCATATCCATAACCATAACCATAACCACGTGCCTTTTTCGTTACACTAAAACCGCAATACAAACACACCCACAGCCACTTATGGCCGAAGGATGGAGGGCAACTGGGTATGTAGAACACCGTGCACACCGTTCAAGTTGATCCCTTGTAAATCTCTAAATTGTTTTATGAATATATTGGCCGGGAAGGTGTAAACCTAATTTTCCTTTATGAACCGGCGGGCAGGTAATGTGGAAGTGCATCCCCGGACTTTTTGTTCCGGCTCAGCAGGATGCACTCTATATCGACGGGGCCTTTGTTTGGCCGCCTCATTTAAATCGTACCGCTGGCCAATTTGCATTCGCACTACAGCCAAATTGATCCGCCCTAATCCCAGTTTCGAGTTCTGCTCCGAACTTCTCCGCTCCTTTGACCCACCGGTCGACCGAGATTTGTAGGCCGGGATTTGAATTTGCAAGAAAAACAAAACTCCTCTGCCTTTTCCACTGGCTTTAGCCCTTTCCTCGGCTCGCTCGGTTTCTGGCTGGGATTGGCTTGGCTCTGGATCTGGATCTGGATTTGGCCCGATCCGGCTTGGCTTCTGCTTCTGCTCCGGCTTAAACTTTCCGCTTGCCCTTTGCCGGAGAGGCTTGAAACGCAAATTGAAGTCAGTTGGGAGAGTGGCTCGAGAATTGCCTTTTAATGGCAGAAAACTATATCTACTCGTACATAAAAAGCTTTAAAAAAAAGTTCTTAATTATGAAAAAATGATTTTTATCGATTGAGGAACTAAAAACATTTTAGCCTTAAAGATATTTTCTGATTTTTTTTAGCTTTGACTTTCGAGTTTTTTAATCGTTTTGTGAAAGAAATTTGAATATTACTATGTGGCGCCATCTGTTGTTCGTTTAAAGCCCCTGTCGGTCATTTTCGCTGCTAGCTGTATGGCAACGCTTGTGCCAACATCTGTGCCGATAGTTGTTACTTACTGAATGAAAAATTAAGAGATTTTTATGTCTTCTTAAAATACAAATGTCATTAAAAAACAAATAAACTAATAAACCCTTTATTTCCGTGTAGCTTTTTTTTATTTTAGCTGTGTATTTTCCGATCAGCTGTTGCGACATGGTCACCCGAATTCTGGCAGCACTTATGTTTGTTATTGTCCATAAGGGTGGGCAGCACTATTTTTGTTTTGATGTTTTTGCTGGAAAGTAAACAGAAATTGTACAAATGAGTTAATTTAGTTAAAACAAGGCTGATGGAGGACAGAAACTCAGAGGACATGGCCAGGAAAAAGACTAGAAAACGGAGTAAGCAGCGCAGAAGCCGCAAGAGAAGCGAGGCAAAGCCAAAACCACAAACAACTCGAGATCATTGGACCAATGGAGTTCAAAGTAATAACAATAACAAACAATTTTTTACGTTTTCCATGTAATATCGTGTTGTTTCCCCTTTTAAATAGTATACCACAGTCTATTCGAATGGCACCGCAGCCATGTTATGAGCTTGTGTTGTCCAACTTATCCTAGTCAGGATCGGGAGTACGAGGATCGCCAGGATAACACTGAAACAAACCACTGCCTTGACTATGTTTTCGAAAGTTCCTCGGAGGAGGAGGAGGACGAACCCATTGACGAGGAGTACCTGAAGTTTCTGGAGGTGACGATCAAGCATCAGCAGGAACTCAGAGATCGAAGAGCTGCCCAAACCACCGCGTCCCTAGATTAAGCTTAGGATAACGATTCTATTTACAGGAGGGATGATATTATGTCTCTTAAGTCTACAAACCTTATTATACACTTGACAACCACTTTGTTTCTACACAATATTGTTTATTAATCGCTTTCGACTTATACATTATTATTATTCAAAATTGTACGTTATACACATAATAGTAACACTAATTGTAAGCTGGTTGTTATCAGTTTTTGGGAGCTGAAATCTCCTTCTTGAAAATTGAAGGTAAAGTTGGGAAAGAAAATTTGCGTAGGTCGAGAAAACAACTGTACTGTGATTCCTGGAACTGCTGTCTCCGATTCGCAGTCAGTCTTACATGGTTCTGTGCTAATGAAGTTGTGCGAAGAGCAGAGTTCTGTTGGCCAGAGGAGACGCACATTAACCCGGCCAAGACTAATGCGATGTCATTTATAATCGCGCAGGAAGAACCAGAAGAAAGCCTCAAATTGGGGCACGACTGCAGAGGAGGAGGGAGATCCATTTGTGGGTCAGAGACAATGTCTGCCGTTCGTGTGGGCGTGCCGAGCTGGGCATTAGCCGAAACTTTTCGGCACTTTTCAGCAGAAAGCCTAATTAAGACGTCCGACTCCGAGTGGCAATGGATTATTCCGCCTCCTTCCCCCTCTCCTGGCCAACTCCCTCCATGAAGCTCTCTTCCCACCTCCTCTTCGGCGGCCGCTCGAATCACGACTGGCGACGACAACTGCGAACGACCTTTCTAATGCCCGGCCACTGCATAAATCATGGCCCAAATGGCGGCCACCTGCAACCGCCAGCAGCAGCAGCAGTAAGCCAACTGCAACTGCCAGTACACTGAAACTAAAGTGTAGTAAAGTAGGAAAATATGGGGGTCTAATGCCAAGACTCCGCTGATAAAGTTTCAACTGCTGACTCTGCCTTAACGGAAGTACAAAAAAAATCAAACATTTTCGCACAATTTCTTTCTTCAGGAAGACGTTTTCCGCAGTGTAGCTTACGAGGCTGTGCCTGCAACGGGAACGGAAACTTCAGCCAAAACCCAAGCTAAGCCCAGCTGAAACTGGGATGGGAACCGGGGAATCACAGTTGGACATTCACCGAACGGGAGCGATAAAAGTTTAGTCAAATCGAAATTGAGATTTCAACAGGGAGCTTGGCTCCACCCACCGAAGAGAAGAACAACAATAAAACTTTTCCCCGTAACTGGAAGCCGAATAAGAAGAAAGAGAGCTGAGAAGCCACTTGCCTACTTCTTATGGTTATTAAACATTTGCTGTGTTAAGTACGAGTATGTGAACGAAAACAAGGGCTTTTCGGTTGACGGGGAGAGGGAAAGGGAGGGGTCCATAATCTTTGGTGGTAACCCGACACCAAGTGCAAACAAGAAGCCCTTGAACCGGAAGCCCAGAAAGCAGAAGCCGAGCAAAATGGCCGCATCGAAGGGCCAGGCCCAGAACAAAAAAGGGAGAGAGTGCGAAGAGAAGCCTCTAATTAAATGGGAGTACCCTGCTAACGTGGCCAAGACAGCAGGAGGAGGGGAAGGGAAGGGAAGGGAGTCGAGCTGGCCAAAAGAGCTCTGGCCACCTGTTGCCGATTGCAGGTCTCTCCATCTCCGTCTCCGTCTTTGGCTTTGGTTTTGGTTGCCTTGTTTTGCCCGACGCCATGTTGCTCGAAGATTTGCATGGGATCCGATCGAACACCCCCACTTTGAGATACGGCAAGCATCGCGCATATGAATATTTTATGAGCCGACAACCGGCTGTTTTGGAGGCCAACCGGCGACAGTCGGGGAGCACTTGAAGTGCCAGACAAATTGTTGCCTACAAATCAATTAAATTGCTAATCAACAGCGACAACAAACAAAACGGCAGCACCAGCAACAGCAGCAACAACAGCAGCAGCAGCAGCAACACAAGCAGCAACTGTTGCAGCTACGGCAGCAACAAATCGTGTATTAGGCTCACAATTTAATGGAGCCGCATTCCAGAGGCGAAGTCTAGAAGCCATTGTTGGTTCCCTATCGCCGAGCGACCACAAGAAATGCATAAACATATTGCGGATTGTTTTCCCCTTTTTTGGGGGCAGGGGAGGTAAATAAAGGGGCCAAACACAAGACAAAGCTGCCAGGCTCGGACACAAACAAGTGCGCTGCAATTGGGCAGTGCGGCGGTTAAGGGGGTTAAAGGGGGTTAATGGAGGGAGGGGGTTGGTAGATGGAGCAGAGGGAGGGAGGGGGAAACTAGCACGACCCGAAAAAGCCAAGCTGCAACAGCAACACAAACAGAAGCAACATGAAATCACCGCAGGCGGCATTTGACAAAAAGCAAACTAGCCTCACATAAGTGCATGGCTACTTTGTATGAATAAATTCGGAGGGAGCTCCAAAGGAGCCAATGAGAACGAGCTACGAGTGTAAAAAGAAAAGGAATTGCACTTGGCTTATGCTCGGCTACAGCTTCAGCTAGAATCTCTTGCAAGTTACCTCCACTAATTCAAACCCAAGTTCTACCTATGCGTCTCAGATTGATTACTCTTCGGACTCCCTCTAAACGCATTTTACTTGAATAAATATACAGTCACCACCAACTGTTTTGTCCGCTGTTTCAGTTGTCAACACCATTAGGTGGAGTTACCTTCTCGGCATTACACAGATAGCCAGCCGCTGTCGAAACTCATTCAATCCGAAGCAGATTCAGATTCGGATTCGGACTAAGATTCAGATTCAGATTCAGGCGCAGACTGGCTTCCAGTTTCAGGTTACCACGCATGAGGCTTTTTCACGTCGTTCCCCATTTGTCGCCTGGCACTTTTCTAACTTGCTGTGGGAAAAGGAGTGGCGCTGCAGGCAGCGGGAAGGCGGGGATCGGGATCGGGATTGGGATCGGACCGGGATGGTGGGCAGGGCGGGGAAGCTCTCGCGAGAGGGTTGAGAAGCGTGAGAGCCGACAACTAACTGCGCCTGCGCACGCGTTCAATTAGCTGCAAATTGCAAATCGTGCGGCGCATGCGCAACGTCCCGATGCGATGTCGCCACAAACGGCGGCAACATGTTGCTGCTGCAGCGACACCACACCGGAAGAAACCAAATTTGAAGTTGGAATTTTGATGGCAAAGGTGTGGGGAATTGTTATCTCATCAAAAGGTAAAAGAATAGATTTTCTGTTTATGGTAAGATTCCAGTTAACTGTGAAGTTTTCTTGTCCAATCATCCACCTAGTTTTTTCTTCAGTGCACTACAACGGCTGCTGCAACAGCAATACCAACGGCAACAGTTGCTAATGTGTTGTCAGCAAAACTCATGTTGACAGCAGAATCGAAAATATTTCATTTCAAATTTGCTGCTGCAGGTGTGGGAAAGAGAAAGGCTCCGCGGAGGTGTCGATGTCAACTGTTAATTGGGTGTGCTGGCCGGATTGTTGGGGATTCGGGGGCGTGGCAGCGGTAGGCGGCAGGCGGTTGCCTTGAGAGAGACACATCCTGCCGCCGGTTGCAACCATAACTCAGCTGCAGCCTCTGCGGAGGCATTTGCATGGGGAATCGGATTTCTTGCGGATAGATTCGAATGTTGCCGCTGAGTGAATGATAACTGACAGTTGGAACAGCCGAACAGCCGATGCAGCAGCAGCACAATGCAAACATTGCAAGCATTGCGGTGCAGCGACATGTTGCATCCTGGGGGGAGTCGCCTCCCCTCCCCCTGGCGTCCCCTCCCCGCTCCCCAGCTAAATGTCAATAAATATTGGCAATGCTCTCGTCCCAGACGCTGTCATTGTCATGGTCGCTGTGCTCCTCGCAGCAGTAACAAGACACTCGCAGAAACACTTTTATTAACAACAATGCATCCTCCAAGGTTCTCTGTTTGTGGAATAAGTGAGGGTAAAGGGAATTCATTTTGTATTCACTTCCAAGAAGACATTTCTTGCAGTGCAGCAGCTGCTTGGAATGCCGGCAATGATCTCGCTCGGCGGCTCACTTCTGCCGATCCGAATGCGCACATAAATTCTATCAAACAAGCAAATGGAAATATTAAGGAAATTTAGACATGCTATCCCAGTGCGCAAGGTGGTGGTGCGGAGCTGGCGAGGATCTGGGCAGGACCAGTGGGATCTGGGGTGGTGGAGGCGGCGGAGTCAAAGCGACCGCCGCCAATTTCGAGGCGCGGCACAAAGCCAGGCAGTTTTGTGGCCAAGTCAAAGGCTAGGACGAGTTGGTTGGTCGGCTAAGTTGGCTGAGTTGGCTAACTTGGCTGAGTTGGCTGAAACCGAAACCAACCGCAGAGCCACATACATCATTTTCACACCGAAAAGCAATCGCGGCGAGAAACCTCAAGGCGAGAATTACGAGCGACGACACGGCAACAACAAATGTTTTTGCGAGTGAATTTGCAGCTAATAATTTACACAAAGCATTTTTAATCATCCGCAGCGCTGCAGCCCGGCGTCCCTCCAATAAATCGCCAACGTGCCAGCAACAAAGTAATCAATCAGCGCGGCCAATAGTCAATGATCCCGCTGCGAGGGAGCGCTGGGGAGGAGTATCGCTAGGATCGGCCGGATGATGCATCTCGGAGCACTGGGCACCGAGCTGGCATTGTGTCAGTCTGAGTTGGAGAAGAGCATCGGCCACTTGGCCACTGCACTGGGAATGCGGTGCAATGCCAGATCATTGATAATGATCAGCGGCATCGGCATCGCCATCGCCATCGCAGAGTGCAACCTCCTCCAAATGAGAAAATCAACTCCGCAGCTCAAAGTATGCGTAATGGCCCCAGGGAGCTCCTCTGCTCTGCTCTGCTCTCCTCCGGTGGGGAACGGCCAGCGGTTGTTTGCCTTTTGCCTAGATTCCGCGGCCAGCGGATCCGCGATGAGAAAATGCGTCATAAATGCGTAAGTCAGCCGAAAGAGTTGGCCAGCGATGGGTTATTGTGTTTAAAAGATATTCAATTCAAATAAAAAGTATCTTCATGACACTCCATTAATTTGTTTTCCGTCAATTGCATTTTATATTTGCTAAACCTTTATTCGTATTTTATCTTGGCTAATTGCCAACGATTCCACAGTTCGCAGAGCCACTCACGACCACATGAGGTTGTCATCTCTAGGATCCTCTGTCGCCCTGGCAGTCTTCATCATATTTAATGGTTGTGTGATAATATGCCACGTTGCCGCTGTTTCTGTTTCTGTTGCTGCTGTTGCTGCTGTTGTTGTTGCTGCCGCGGATGCGGATGGGATGGATGCTACTTGCTTCTTGGCAGCGATGTTGCATGGCCATAAAGAGTCGCAGTTGCAGTTGCACAAATGCAGCGCAAAACTCAATTAAAGAACGCATTGCAGTCATGATACTCCCGGCGATTCCGCATTCCCCTCCGCAGCCAGAGCAGCCAGAGCAGCCAGAGATCCTCGATCCGAAGAAGCTGCGATGCGACGATGATGAACAACTGACATTGAAGTGCCAGATCGACAACTGAGCGGAGCCATGCTCATAAATATGGCTGCCCCGCCGTCCATGTACCCATGTGCCCACTCCACACCACTCCTCTTCACTCCACTCCGATCCCATTGCCATTCCCATTCCCATTCCCGTTCCCATCTGAGGCTGCTGCTCCATCGCGGGCTGTCGTCTACAAGTTGGTTATTAGTCGAACGGAATGCCGGCGATGCGCGTTAATTAACTCATCAATTTTTTGCAGCCCCTCGTCGCTTTTCGCCGAGCATCTGATGGATGCATTTACTCCTACTTAGCATTGTTCGGGGTAAAAGGATTTCAGGGTTTCAGCGAGTGGTTCCTCTTCGCGAGGGCTTATCTGCTGTTGACACAAAGCCCCCGGCAATCCAATCAGCTCGTGTGAGGTGGCATTTCCACCCCTGCCCCTGCCCCTGCCCCTGCTCCGCCAGTGTCCTGGCTGTCCGTCAGGGAGGCCCTTGTTCCGAGGGAAATTAAGTACCTACTAGAATGTAGTTGAAAATGTCTTTAATAATGACAGCAGCTATGTGTGGAACTTGAAAAGCGCGTAAGCATCGTCGGCGCGGGAACACGTTTGAGCCTTCTGAGCGTTGAGCCTTCTGCTCCTCCGCTCGTCGAGCCGAGTGTGCAATAATCTGGAACGTCATTTTTATTGCTGCCACTCGCATTGGGGCATTCCTGTCTCCGCCATGTGTCCACTCCTCCTCCTCCTCCTCCTACCGCAGCTCGCTCGCCTTCAGCCTGCTCGTTGTCATCTTAAGCAATCATCTCATAATCGGCGGTGGCAGTAGCGCGGCCTCCAGCCGGAGGTTGAGCACTTCTGATGTCTCCTCCGACGGCTCCCCTGTCACCCTGTCACCCGTACACCGGGAATCCACCTCTCTGGTTACACGGATCGGTTGGGAATGTGTCTGCTTACAGGATGCATTTTTGGGAGTTTAATTGGATATACTTTACCATCGAATATGTCTTGGATTGGCTATTGAGTGCGGTAGTGCAGCAGTATTTCTCGCAGTGCACCTGGTTCCCTGTCAGCAAATCCCCACCAGAGTTTCCAGAGCCGATGCATCAGAGGAGCAGCTAACTGATACAAATCTGAGCAGAGCGGATCTGGAGCGCGCCTTTTTGATTGATTGCTGCGAGGACGTTTCTGTCGCTGCTGCTTTTGGTGTTAATAATAATTATTATCGGCTCCGTTGGATGAATCCGATTCAATGTCGACCGGCAGGGCGGAAGTTGCAGCCGAGTCTTTGGAGAAAACGTGAGAATTCTCGGCGGAGGCTTCGTCACTGCCGAAGTTGCCTGCTGGTGGGACTTCTCCCGATAATTCCCAAAAGTCGCACGTGCTGAGAAGTTGCTCGCAGGTTAGATTAGCTCAGAGAAATTCTTCAGAAAATTCCTCCGAAATGCACTAATATTTAGCAATAGGTTTCCATTTAGTTTAATGAAAAGACTTGAGTATTCTGTTGCAGCCTTTCCATTACTTTTAATTCACTCCGACAGAAGACGTTGCTGCTGCTGCTGGGTTTGGTCGTTTGTATCTCCGATTGTTCTTGACCATTTTGAGATAGTAACAAGATAGGCGGCAACACTCGGAGTGAGATAGAGACGGGCGGCGGCATTGACGTGTGTGGCATGTGGGCAAATGTGCTGCTGTGTGGCTGCTGGAGATGCGGCTACTTGCTGCGGCAGCGCTGCTGTTGTCATTGGCTGCAATTTAAATAAGTGCCCGGCAACAGGGAACGTTGAACATCGAACATAATTGCCTTTTGCTTTGTTTTGCCTCGTTTTTTCCTCGCTTCGATTCTAGCGCTCCCGTCGCCTCATTTCCTTTCCAGCGCGAAGGTCAGCGGCCACCGCTGCAGAAGCCGCGGTCACTTGCCACCAGCAACCAGTGGGCAACCAGCAGCAGTGGCGGTACGGCGGTGTGGCAACTGCAGCCGCCTTTGGGGCAGCCGCTTACAAGCGCTGCGAATTCCGCTCGCTGTCACCATAATTGTTCGCTCCCTGACCCCCTCCTGCCCCTCCTGCCCCTCTTGCCCCCCCCTTCCCGCTTACTGCGACATGTTGCAGGCAATTGATTGCTGCCGCCGCCGCTTGTTTAATGAGCCGAGGAGATCGGGAGGGCAGGGAGCCGCGAAGGATCCACGAGGGGCATCTGCGGCATGCGAGGTGTCTAAATTAGCTGGGAACGCGTTTTCGGCTGTCGCCAGCAATCAAAAGCGGAATATCCGCGCCTCCTTGTAATTAGGGAGGGCAAATACCAAAGAACCGAGAACCGACAAAAACCGAAAAAAATACTGCAGAAAAAGCCGAAGCCAAGGAGAAGTGGAAAAGCGTTTTCTTCGAGGTTGGATTACATTTGTGCTGCGGTTGGCAGGGGAAGAATTTCGAATTAAGAAAGCGCTTAATTAACTGGTTTAGGAACGAAATTAGTAGCGATTCTAAGCCGCTTCAGAAGAACAATCTGCAGCAGCAGAAGCAGCCACAGTAGCTGCAAAGCAACTCAAACATTTGTCAGCAACTTTGACTCCGAGTCCAAGTCCAAGTCCGAATCGGAATTGGAATTGGAGTTGGAGTTGGAGTCGCAGTCTCGGATTCAGGGCCTGTTGCAAATAATAAAATCGGTAGCAATTGCAACGGTTGCCGGTTGCTGGCTGCTTGTGCCACAAAGGGACGAGGCCGAGGACTCCAGCCATGGAAGCCATGGGACTGTGGTGGCGGCCATGGCCGTGGTGCAACATGTTGATCACTGATATCGTCTGCACGACTTGCGGCCGGGGCAACAGGTAGAACCGAGGGTCCACTGCTCCGCGGAAGCCCCTCTCCTGATTCCTATTTCTGGGCTTTTTCTGTGGGTTTTTGTTGATCTGGCAACTTCATTATTTGACAGCGCACGACTTTGATATGGAACCGAGAAACTGAACGGCAGGCGGAGGAGCAGAGTCCTCTTCCAGTGCCACAAAAAGCGGGGAAGCGGAGAAGCAGCGGAAACAGCAGCAGACGCAGCGAGAACTTTTGGCCAGAAACGGAATTCTGTTGTAATCAATTTTACAAGTTTTTATTGATGGCCGACAACGCACCGCATGTGGCAGCTGTTTTTGGGCTTAGAACTGTGTAGTCTCGATCTGAATCCGAGTTGAGTGGCTGCCCTGTCATTCCTCGAAGGTTCCAGTGTCCTTGAAAAGAGTCTAGATATTCTATATTATGTTTCTGAACAACAGAATGGAAAGCCCTTGTTTCTTCATAACCGATCAGACTTAGTAACCTGTTCCCTTTAATTCCTAAGAATTATTTTAGGAACTCCCTTATCACTGTTACCTTACTTTTTTGCTTTGGCTTTTGGCCACGCTCCAATGGACCAACTGACACCTAGACACATTTTTCCCTCGCACAAATCAAAAGGCAAACATTTTCACTTTCAATTACAGCAATTAAAGCGAGCAATGATAATAACTTATTTAGCAGCAAAAGGAGGAGGAGGAGGAGCAGGAGGGGGAGGCGAGGAGCGCAGATCGCGGATCGTCGCCAAAAGCGGCACGCAGACGCATCGCAAAAGTGAAACAACGAGGAGAAGGGAGGTGGGGAGGAGGAAGGAGGAGGGAGGAGGGAGGAGGGGAGGACGGGGAAGGGGGAGGCGATGAAAAACTAGTTCAGGCTGAAAACAGGTCCCCCTCCTTAGAGCCCCTCGGTGCGCCCTGTGTCGCCACATGCGCAAATTGAATTTTCGAGAACTATGCAACACCCATACGCCCCGTGGGTGCGGTGACCCCCCTCCCCCTCCTCTCTTCCCATCCGTCCGCCACTGCAATTGCGGAATAAACGTTTTTTAATTGAATTCGAATTCTGGGGCCGTCGCCTCCGACTCCCTACTCCCTACTCCTTACTCCCAACTCCTCTCCCCGCGAATCCCCTCCCAGGGATCCCCTGGCTCCTTGTGGCCTGGTTGTTGACCTCGGATCGATGTTGTCGTCGCTCGTTTTGAAGTCGTCGCTGCAGTTGCAGTCAGTCGCCATCGCCATCGTCATCGCCCAGTGGCTCACTTACAACCTGCCCCGCCGGCCATCCCTTTTGAAGCCCCGTCCCCGATCCGCTCGTCTGAGTCCCGATGAACCTGCCCCACGAGGTACATCAGCTAATGGTCAGCAGAAACCTAAAAACCAATTACAGAGCATTTCAATTGGATGAAAGCTTATTTGGCTCAAATCACAACTAATATTATTCTTTATTTATAAAGATTTTATGTTTGGACTTTAGAGCATCCAAACATCGCTATACATTCCGCGCTCTGTGATCGGTCTTGTTTTTTGTGTCTATAAAGTCTTCTGTGTTTTTTATTGTTAATTTATAGAATTTTTTTGTGTGATGGCTGTTCTTGCCTGAACGAAATGCCTTTGACTTGGTTTCGTTGTCATTAAAACGCGCGATGGGACATCGACTTCTTGTTGTTGTTGTTGTTCTTGTTGTTTTTGTCGTTGCTCTTGTTTTGTTTTTGTTGTGCGATCCTCGATCGCTGATCGCTTACTTTTGCTCCTCTTGATTCGCGTTGTTGATTTTGTCGTTTGCCTTTTAAATGAAAATAACGATAAATCAAAGCTCGCCGTAGAAGAGGTGAACACAGCCCAATGAAATGCATTTTGTGTCGTCTGCTGTTCGTGGAGCCCAGATTTCCCGCTTTGCTGTAATTTGTTAACCTCTTAATTGTCCCCAAAAACCAAATTGTGCTGCCACCAAGATTCTACTCTATGTACTTCTATTTAAATCCGAGGGATACAGGAAAGTTGAGTCATGGAAGGCACTGTTGTGTCCCTAGTTCAATGGTTAAGAGTAAGAGAAGGAGTAAACATTTGTTTGTTTCATTTTATCCCACTGGGAATTTGGACTGCCTGTAACGCAATCTTCTACAAATCTCCATTTCTCTTATTTGTTTTGGCATGGGAACTGGGGGTTATCCAGTGGGTTCGGCTGGATGCCACTAATTAATTACCCCCAGTTGCCGATTGCCGCTGGCCTCTTCTCTAATGTCCGTGGCTCCTTCTGCTGTTTGCCGTTTGCTGCATGCCCTAATGTAGATATTCCATTTGCTATTACGGAGCGACTTCGGCTGACTCTGACGACGTCATCAGGCCGCCTCCAAATGCGTTTTGACAGGGGAGGCCCCCGAGCCTCCCAGCTCCGCTCTCCCGACTGCTGCACTTAATCTCGGGCGATCGTCAACGTTCCATCAGCTTCATCGGCATCGGCATCGGCATCAGCTCGCCGGCGGAGCAGCTCCCCCCGAGATTGTATCTCATCAAAGGCGCACGTTTTCGAAATTACCGTACTAAGTGGGCGTCTAACTGTGCCACAGTCGAGGCTCCAGCTCCAGCGAGGAAAATCCCCAGGTTGCGGCGACGTCTGAGCCTGTTTCCCCGGCCTTTTCCACTCTTTTCTGTGCGTTGTTTACCCTTCGACCTGCCACCCCGCCCTCCCCTTCCCCCTTGCGATACCCACTGCACTCGCTAAGTCATTTTTCAAGCGCTTTTTCAAATTTTCCACGCTTGCTTTATGCAATTTCTCTCAGCCTGGCTGAATTTTCCATTAACACTTGCCAACAAGGACGGGAAAGAATTTTCGACGGAGCCTTCAAGTTGATTTTAATAATATTTTATTTGTAAATAAAAATGTCAAATATATTCAATTATTTAAACTGTTTGAATGTGAGTATTAAATAAAGAAATACAATTTCAGCCTTGATGTGGTGGGAAATGACATTCTAGATATTGAATCTAGTTGCATGTTTAGATACATTATCTAGCTGTGCGGTGTAATCTGGCAGAGAAAAGCCAATTTAGCCCCACGAATCGCATTTGGCAAATCAAAGTCAAATATGTTTTATTAAA